ATTACCTTAGTGGTGCATTACCTTTGCCGGCCTTACCTGTGCCGTGCATTACCTTTGCTGTGAACTATTTTTGCTGTGAACTATTTTTGCTGTGTACTATCATTGTCGTGTACTATCACTGTTGTGCGTTAGTTATTAGGATGTTTTCAACCTTTCATTTATTAGTGTTCAATTTACGTGCTTTGTTCAATAAATAATTGTTTAGTATGCTTTCATTTCTCCTTTGTTAAGATCGGTGGCAGTTTAGGGTTAATTGTCGAATCTACTTGGAGTCGTCCTTTACCTGAACTTTACACATATATAAAACATTGTACATGTTTTAGATTCACGAGGAGTTCGACAAGCTATGGTAAATTTTTGTCTTCAAACGTCGTTCTTTGGTCAATATTATTTTGGTTGCGGAAGAAAAATCAATCGACTCGAATCTCCGACAAAAGAGGAGTCCTTATCACGTTGACTACGTATTGGTACATATGCGTATCACGAAATGTATTTCTCCTGGTACATAATTCGGGGTTGCCAGATGGCCCAATAAACGGCCAATTAAGTCCGTGAACAAAAAGGCCTATAACTCAATCTATACTAGTATATTATTTTGTAGGTTCCGGTGTAAAAATTCAATTTTTTTAGTTAATTAGGAAGTGCCTCTTACGACCCCTATCATAAATTTTAGCCGACCACCTAAATTGAAAAAACTAAATCGCGGAATTTGTCCGGTAAAAAGAGAAAGTCTGGCAACCCTGTTCCATAATAGTAGGGTAACGTGGGGCAGCGCGCCCCCCACTTTTTTTAAACTAAATTTTTGATGAAGTTTTAATTGATACGAGGTGGTTCTTTTACGTAAATCCGTACACTTCATCCCAGTGAAACTGTCGACCGGCGGTAGAGAACACGGACCAATATCTGCCATACTTAGCGAGAAACCCGCTATGGGCCCGTGACCCGCAGTGGGCTCGCTGCCCCATGTTACCCTACTAGAAAAACGAAACAAAAGTACAAGATGAACCAATCGTAGTCAACGTGTTAATTAATATCGTGTAATGGTATCAGATTTCGTTTGCTGTACATTACAATTTGATCAAAACATAAAAATGAAATGAAGTGTGCATGCATTTTCCCACAATGCATTGACACAGGATTTCCATTTATATTTATTCAGGTTTAGTTTTCAAGGATCACACGGAGGAGATCTTGCTTTAATTTTGTTTGTTTCTAGGATTCGTAAGAAGAGTATATAGTAGACAGAAGCATGTATACACAATAATATAAAAATAAATCAAGAACGATCGTCAGATTATAATGTAATTGAATGATTATTGACCATATGATAAAATTATAAAGTTATAATCAATCATATGAAAAAATAATACTAGATGATGAAAATTCATTTTTCATTCGAAACATGGCTTTGACCTCGCAAATAACTACCGGAACCAATTTTATGAAGTAAAAGAAAAAACTTTTGTTTATGGAGCGCGGCAATTAACCGCACGTGTTCTGGTCTGGTACGCAATTTGTGCCGGTCTAGATACCGTGTTAGGTAATTATGAAGTGAAAACAATTATGGTGGGAATAAACCGCTAAGCTTCTTATTTCCCGAGCGAAGGATTCGACTCCGCGATGATGAATACTTCATATAATTTTGAACGCTAACTAATAAATGTTGACCGGGAAATTGCATCCGATGAACGACGAACAAATAAGTAATATAATTTATACCTTGCCCGAATTTCGGCTGAAATATTCAGAGGTGCAATAAATTTTTCTTTTTTAATTTAATTCCTCACGTGAAATTTTAAATATGTGGCTTGTCTACCATCCTGAGTATAATTTTAATGAGAGATTTTAAATCTGAGGTGGTATTTTAACAACTCACAGTTTCCAATTGACGGATGTTATATTAAACAGATTCCAGTAGACACATGCAGGTTTCAATTATTAAGGGAGACGCGGGGCCCAATTTCCTGATGTGACACAGGTTCCAATTAATGATGAAACACCAGTCTAACAGACTGGTGATAAACAGGTTCCAAATGACAGCTGTTACTAATGTTATAACTGGCACGGTAACTCGACTACTGTGCGCATTCCGCCTGTGATGCCGTGATAAGCTGCACTATTCAAATATATTCCATTGTAGAAATTAGTTGATGTCTTAGAATTTGCCAAGATATGAGATTTGGTCCTGAGAAAAACTTACAAATTACTTCGGTACATATATCTATTGCTGTAAAACGATATGTTTTTACAGAAAAATATTCAAGCAAATTTTTTGAGTTACTCCTCAACGATGATCTCGTAAATTAGATATGGAAAGAAATGTTTTTTCTTCAGTGAATTTTTTTCTTCTGTGAACTCCAGTTCTTCCAGGAAACTTCGTTACACGATTTCGCTCATTACTTCGATGTTTTACGATGCATTGCAGCTTCTCTTTTGTGGGTAGGATTACGTTTCAGGAGCTAGCTATGGCCCCCCAAATAACCAAGTTAAGTCGAATAAATAGCATGCACGCGGGTACATGCGGCATTCAGTTTATTACGTTGGGAATAAACTGAATGGAAGAGTTACTAGACTGAATGAATAAACTAACTTGGGTACAAAATAAAAGAGTTAAGATAAAATATGCGGGTCATCGAATAGAAAAATCTGATCACATGTACGTTGCAAAATCTACATGCATGTTCAATTTAGGGTCGAATTTCAATAAGTGAAATTAATTCAGAATAAAAACATTAATATAATTAAAAATAAATATGGGAAATACTAACTTCATTAAAAATAATACAACGCACGCAAAAATTAATCGAATTAAACTTGCTCATGGAACCGATTGCAGATTTTTTGTTTGCTTGTCATATGTTCGAATGTCCTTTCTTTAAACTGCAAAGTCCGCATAAAAAATATCACAAAAGAAATGTTAGGGAATATGTGTCAAAGAAAATGACCACAATTCTTTGAGCAATCAGCGTAATTTTTCCTTTTTTTCCACATCAAGAAAATGAATTAATACCGTTTGTTTTGCTCATTTATTTATTATTTTGCAACCTCCGTTTGAAACATAAAATTCAAACTATGCGTTTGTAAATTGTAAAACATATTCAAATCAAAGAATAGCCTGATAATAAAATTCATATCGTTTCGTTGAGAACAATATCTCAAAAATCTCAGAGAAGAATAGTTAATTATTTGACTAAAATGCCAATGTATGTCAGAGCGTCATCAATAGCATAAATATTAGGTGCGAAATCAAGCGCTGTGCGCTATTGCCTTTTGTAATTAAGACCTTATAATTACATACTCATGCAAGCCAATATTGTCTACTTCGATGTAGGATACATGTGAACGTTTGGCACATCTACATCGATGTAGGCCCTCACGTGGACGCTGCAGGAGCTCATTGTCATGCCGAAGGGAAACAGGGCATTGGCATCCAGTATCCTAAATAATTGAGGTAATTGCCGGGATGATGGGGAATGCTAATACGAGTAGCAGCTATTACTATTCAGTAGGGCTTTGTACTGCTAAGCGCTTTATTGGGGAAGAGATCAGGGGGCAGATGCGGCCTTTTCGAGGCAAAAGAGTTTTGTACGTGTAAATGTTGTTAGAGAATGTTGCTATTGAAATAAGAATCTATATGTAATTATAGTGGGTGGAATAAACGATTAAACAATTAAAAACGCGAAAAAGCGGATCTCGTCGAAACACGATGACATTCACGAATGATTTCTCGTACTTTTTCCTTTTGGTCTTTTGTTAAATTTTTTTTTTTCATCAATTTTAGACGCTAAAATGAAGCGCTAGTTTCAAATCTATTTTTTTTGCTGCAGAAGCTGCCAAACATCGTCGAGTAAGAGGATTTATATCCTATTCATCGGATTTAATGCGCCTTGCCGCTTGTGGAGAGAATTACGCCGACGATCCCATCATCAATATGAGAACCGAAAAATTATGTAAACAGCGTCGATGTTCAGAAATATTGGTTGCAACATTAAAAAGCTTAAAGCAAATGACTGGGAGAAATTTGTACCAGCTCATGACTTGAGTTTACACTGCCATTGAGCGTAATTAAACGATCAAGATTCTAATTTACGTCAGGGTTCTTGTTGTTATGTTATTTTGACAACTAAATAAATCCGACAATTAAGATGACTTCATGATGACGAAGTTGACTCGGCCGCTCGCGAAATAATTCACATTTCTCTCAATGTTTGATGAGGTGTCACACCCTCCATTCAGCTGCAGCATAATGCAGCATAAATGATCTATTGCAAACCTATTGAAAAATCGAGACCTATCCTCACCGCCATTGAAGGAAATCTAGAGCACGGCCACAATTTTTTATTTTGGGCTGCTTTTCGCGAAATATAATAATGCAGTAGAATAATTTTTCAGCAAATGTGGACTTGGCGGTCGCCCACCGGAATGCTAATAAAAAAGGAATTTTCTAATCAAGTCTGTGATACCTTTATGTAAAATTTTCTGAATTCAGGAAAGGAAAAACCACATGCAACAAGTGAAAAAATTTCAAATAAGAGATTTGGTATCAGCTGACAATTTGTAAATTTCTGACACAGGCCCTTTGTATCGCTAATATAAAGTTAAATCTCAAATATCTTGTATACGCTCTTTATTTTCGGCCGCTGCTGCTCGTGCGGCTTGAACAAGAAGTTTGACTACAAAAGTTGAGCACAACTTGCGGCTACCGCCTTCGTCAGGCCTCGGCATCAATATAAGGTTGCGAATTCCTTATCAAAGAAACGTCGTCGTCGACCGTGAAAAAGGAAGGAAATCTTCGAAAACTTCCAGCGTATATGTGCCGACTTGGACTGCTCGCAAGATAGCCGTGTGAGTCACAGAACGGAAGATCTATTGATACACCAGGCAAACCGATGCACGTCTCAATATTCGAATATTGGCCTATAATATTATAGTATCCAATAGGGCAAAAAAACGAATGCGTCGTTCATAATTGTTTATGAAACTATAAAATATTACAACATCTTTTACGTAAAATATTTGACTTTGTTGATAATAACACACAAACTTTTAATCTCTTCCCTTTACATTAATTAGTAGATAAAAGTATATGCATCGGGCACGTAAGACAACTAGGATATTGACAGGATACATAGGCATCTGGTAGGAGTTTATTTCGATAGAATCAATGGTCAGTTTTTTAAAGGGAATTCAATATAGAATAAGTGCTACACATTAGGTTGGAAAAGTTACAGCGATGCCTTGTCTCGAAGCAGCAATTCACTGAAACTTGCTTGATCATTTGAGCGAATGATGATAGTTGGCACAAATTAGACTAAATGAATTTATCAATAAACCTGTAATCTGATTTAATTATTTTATTGGCTTATTTGGCTACTATTGCATTAAATGAATCCTAGAAGCGTTCAAGATAATAGTTTTCGGTGAAGCAGGTCTTACTTTCAACTTCAAAGGGATAACAGTTTTTCGATTAAAATTTGTTAATAATAAGTAGGCAGTTGGATAAAAATCACCAATTAACATACATATAACTTTCTTAGAATAAGCACTAATTTTTCCAAAACCACTAATTAGCAAATTAGTCATGAGTCGTTCTGTACTTTTGACGACTTCATCACAAATGCTTCACAAGATCACGTTCGATAACTCGTACAAGATTGTCTTATAACACATAGGCGGCGACGTTCTTGGTAACGTCTTGACAACAACTACCAAGATGTTGCAGGACAAATGAAGTAAATTATCTGACCATCAAAGCTGCAGAGGCCTATCTTATTACCTAAAGATGTAGCGTATACCGTCGCCTATGTTCTGGTCGCCAATAAATGATCAACTTGCTTAGCGCGTGTTTTCGAACAAATACTCAATTAATTTAAGTAATTATTTTAAATCAATTTACTTTTATTGAGATTAGTAATTTCACTACAAGGGCATTTATAACATTTTTCAAGTTCCAAGCATTTACTTCCGTTGACCGCAGCAACATCACAGCTGTGATGAACTCAGTCCAGAGGCTGCAGTTGACGGCAGCGCGGCAAGGAATTGTGCCGTAAATCTACATTGAGCACAAGCGTCTCTTTATAAGATGCAGAGCTGGGAGGCAGGGTGCCTCCTTTTTGACATTTATTCAAGCGTTCGCTGTAGCTTTTCTGTTGAGACTCAGAAATATTCATGATGTGAGCCAATGAAGACGGGTCTCTCTTGGTCGTCACTTCCTGGCATCTCCTGCTGAAAGAATCAGGCAGGTTTTTGAGGAGGTCCATCACTTGTGAAAACTCCGGCACAAGTTGACTTTTGCAGGCCTCGTCATCGTTGCTGCCATCACTTGGGAAACCTGCACGTCAAGAAACAGAGCAACGCTTACGACCACGCCTTGCACGTTAAGTTTAAATTAGATACTCAATCTCGAGTTGAAGATACGTACGGACTCACGTTGACGGATCTTATGCATTTTTTCCAAGAACATCGTCTTGCATATGCTAGGAATAAAATATATTGATCACAGAAAATTCAAGTTTTCAAGTAATATTGTTAAATCTGGCGCATTTTCACATGTGAATTTTGAAAGAAAAAAATCAGGTGTAACGGCATGCACAACTAAAATTTTTCGCTTACTTTATCAAATTTTGCCAATGATGACCAATGAATTTATGAAATTTTTTGAAATAGATGATTAAGACATTAATGTGAGTGACAGTTTTGTTACCGCTTGATTGAAATATTTGTTTGCAACAACTAGCAGAATAAAGATAAAGTCAGGGAAATATGCAAATATGCAGGGCCGAATATGCAGATCGGCGGGCCTAATTGGCTTCCATTCAGCCTCCGGAGCTAATTTTATTCGAGATCTCATGCAATGCCGAAGCGGAAAAAACACGATCTAACTTAACTCAAAATATTTAATAGGTTTGATGTTGGATGAGTTCAAACATCTGGTTGTGATGATTTTAGAAATTAAATCTTTTATGGCAAGAACCGTAAACATTCCCATGGCGGGGCTAATAATGAAAATTTCAAAAATAAAATGCACGATCTTCTTTGAGTTGGAACCCTAGCGAGCAAAAGAAATTAATCATTAGATACGTTTGAGTTCTCAGTCAGAATCAAGCGATTAGACAGGAATACCCATTCACTCTTTTTTGTACTTCAAAACCTCAGAACACGAACCATTATTTTTTTTACTCGAAAACCACAGAACATGGACCATTTCTAATTTATTTACTCGAAAACCAGCGAACCTGAACAAATTCTAATTTCTTAAATCGAAAACCACAAAAACTTGACCCATTTTAATTTTTTACCTCGAAAACCGAAGAACCTGAACCCTTTCTAATTTTTTACTCGACAACAGCAGAACCTGAACCAATTCCAATTTGTTAAATTGAAATCTACAAAATTTGGACCCATTTCAATATTTAACTTGAAAATCGGAAAACCTGAACCAATACAAATTTTTTACTCGAAATCCACGCAGCCGCCTCACCGGAGGTCGTAGAGGCCCAGGAGCTGCCCGAGGATCCCTCGCCCTCGTAGGCGTAGGCGCGGAGGTCGTCCGGCGCGGTCGTCTGCTCAGCGGGACTGGTGCAGGCGCTCGAGCACCGACGCAGGAGGCCCTGAACGGTGTCGTTACGATGCTTTACTGCAACGTCAGTCCCACAAATTTGTTATGCGTTTCCCCGTGAAAATTCGACAACACTTTTTTGCGCAAAGTTCGAGACTAACTAAACCTTAGCAACTAATGATGGAAATTCTACCGCTCCTCGGAGCGCTGTCCTCGGGATTGAATTCAAAGCTTATGTTTACTATTAAAAAAAATTTCCCGCTTGACGAGAGAAAATACTGCCGACATCTTGACTTGGAGTTTGCGGTCAGCATTGAAATTTTAAGAGAAAATTGAAAAAAGTTCCTTATGGACGGATTTTATTGTTGACTTACGCAAGTAGCATATTGGACTTTATTTTAAAGAGATTATGAAACTTCTGTTTTCGAATTCGTGCATCCACTCAAGCGTTGGCAGTTCTGAATTGCTATGAAACTCGCGTTGAAATGCACGTGACATCGAAAATTGTGATAAAAGAAAGCAGCTCGCAGCCGTAGAGACAGCTTCATATCGTATTTATGTTGCGTTTCTTCCTACTCTAACCGTGGAGCCGTTATGCTGAAAGTTTTTTATATATTACAAGATGCATTGAGTAAATCCTTGAAAAAATAAACAAAATGCGTGGAGTAAGTCTATTTGAAAACGCATTCAAATAATATCATCGAACAACGTATAGAACTTTGAATGGAAATCTTTCAATGCGCCTCAATTACATTAATATAGTATGACAAATTTGATTGGAGTGAAATTTCTTGTCTGTGCGACAATGTAAGCTAAATTCGACTAATAAGCTAGAATAATGGAGCCAAATATCAGCTCTGCCCTGACACTGTCATGACCACGTGTGAGAAATTGTTATTATAAATTAAGTATTGATTATTTCTTAAAATTCACCACAGTAAATGTTGTAAAGATCAATAACAGTTATACATTTTTAAATCGTCCCGCATTATTTTACTCAGGAATCGAACTAAACTTGATGGGGTATCGTTTAATTTCATCGCGACGACTTTATTCCAAAGACAGCCACGTATCTTTTTAATCAGGTTTAAATCTAACAATCTAGTGTTGGCGCGACGAAAGAATAATAATCCTATCAGCAATAGAATAAGAACTAAAATTTAATGTAAACAAGTAACAGAAAAGCGTCGGAGTAATACGATCTGAAATAACGGAGCAGTATTTAACAATAAAAATGCTAAATGCTGAAATAAAAACACAAATGTAATTTGTGTCTGTAATATTGCGCAAAAATTGAAAGCTACTTATTTAACTTATGATTATGCTCCTCGTATACTGATTCCAAATAATGACTCTGCGGACTAAACTAAAATAATACTACGATAATAACTTAATTAATCATGAAGAAAAAATATGTATAAACTATCATTCCGATTACTTATTCCAATAGATTTCCGTTCAGTTACGCCACAGTTGGTCGAAATAAACAAGGACATATTTTAAGTTAATATGAAGAGGGGAAACCAACCGGACCTGAAGTAGCGCCGACGTCGGCCACCCCCTGCGAGATGCTGCATATCGTTCCTTCACCTTCAGCCCCAGCGTCGCCTCCGCAATTATGCAGCAGGCAAGTCTGCTTTATTTTGGCGGTAGGCTTCGCAGGATCAAGTTTGACGATTTGGAGTTTGGTGTTGCTGGAGGTCGTGGTCAAATGGAGGCATTGATGTGCAGGGGATGGCACTGAGATAACTAATTCTGATGCCGAAAGCGCTGTATCATCGACAAAGTCTTTCTTGTGGTACGAACATTTCGAGAGTTGGATATCTTCACAAACTTTCTTGCGCTTTCGTCGATGCTTTAAAACCAACAAAAATATTCCCATGGCTCCCAACGAGACTGAAATAAGAGGGAAATTCAATTTGTCTAAATATTTAAATTACAATTTGACTTTTTTTATAATATTTCAAGTTGTGTGTTCCTAAATATTTAACTATCGCGGTATTTATCAAGGGGAAAATGTGACTCTTGTTCCTCGAGAATGTAAAAGCAGTCAAGTGCAGACATTAAAAACGACCGCTTCCACTCGATCCTGCCGAGTTCCACGAATTACGAAATCATCCGATGCTAAAATCTACACAGATCTCACCACGTGTTTGGAAGTTGTAATAAAAAATAGGGGACACAATAAAATAAAATTTTTGCCAGTTACCACTTACGACCGTTGCAGTTTTTGCACGGCTTTCAGCTTAGAGCTGCTCTATGACGTAACTTAGCTGAGCTGTCAAGCCATTTGATGGAAGATTCGGCCGTTGGCCACCAGCACGGGCAGTAACCTTAATTAAAGTTTTCTTGGAGTCTCATACGCGGCCGGCCAGTAGTCCAGTTAAAACTTCGTTTTATTTATCTGCGTGCCATGCCACGCAATTCAAGGAAAAAGAATAATTCGTCTTCGAGGCTCATGAGGACATACTCGTGCTATGCTGCATGATGTTGCAAGTGAATGGTAAACCGGCAAAACGCAGCAAATTTTTCACAGCAAGGAAGATGTTCTTGCAGGAGGCAGTTTTGAAAGTTTTCTTGAAGATATTCGTGGTTATCTATGAGAAAAATCTATTTAAGCGACACATGATATACTCACAAAGTAGAGCCAGTGACACCAGTAGCCCGAGCAAGAGCAGCGGACTGACGTGCTCGCTTGCCATCTGCCGAGGCGTCGTCCATTCGCAGTAGCGGCCGCTACTCCAGGACCTGCAGGCGCAGCGAAAGCCAACCTCCCCGTCCAGTTCTTCGGCCCAACTGAAAGACGAGTCCAAAACTGGTGCCACGGTCCCGTTCGTCAAGTAAGGCATATCAGGCGGCAAGATAATTTTCTCTGGTGTTTGTAATTCACTGTCATCGTCTCCTGATGATCTTAGTTGCCGCTTGAGGTCCAATTTGTTGTTTATATGTCTTTCATGTTCACGGTATTCGGAAAATTTCATGGGAAATCGAACAAAATTCCTCGCATAAAGTATTTTTCTTCTTCGGCCAGCGTCTCCGGATGATCTTGGTGTGAGGCTCCGCGACGGGAATTTGGTCGATCGCAGTGTTCGTTTGAGTGTGGGGAACGAGGGCGCTTCCTCGGTCCGATGTGAGGGAGTGGCCAGAGGGACGGGCACGCAAGAGCCTCCGTGCAGGCAGGGAGCAGACACGCAGGGATCCACGGGTTGGCATTTGCCTGATCCAAGACGATGGCCAGCTGGACATCTGTGGAGAAATAACATATCCGCTATTGAAAAGAAATGGAACAGAGGAAATTCAGAAGAATATGGAAAAATCCATGGCCAAGTATAAAATGATGTTCTATTTCATGATCGGTTGATTGCAAATAATTGGAAAATAGTAAAACTAAAATGCATTTATATGAACACAGCTCCTTTTTTTGTAATTCCCATTTCAATAATTGGTAAAAAATTAAAGTACCTCGGATGACGAATACATCAGTAAAAATGAATTGGTCAAATACACATAAAAGGAATCTCGAAAAAATTCTCCATAAATATTTGTTCGATATGACAAAATGTCATTTAGTTTGATCAAATATTTATTTCTTTGACCCAGTTGATTGATCCAACAGATTCACAAACAAAAGGTTGGGCTAATTATATTATAGACAATATATATATGAATCGAATTAGAACATGAACTACGGATCATCAATCAGGAAATTGCAGCAAAAGTAAGACTGGTTTATATTTTAGACGCTGTAATTTAGACTTTTTGCGTTCTTCTTCAAAGATCACATGGCTTTCTAGAGCTTTTAAACCGAAAGTGAGCGTTCAAGGGATTATCTTTCCCTTCCAAATTTGCACTCTGGCTGCCATGCAGACTTCGCAAGAGGCAAAGAGAAAGCACCATAGAAGTTCTTTGATGTATTCACTCCCGATGCAGTGACGTGGCATCAAAAGCAGAAACGCGGAGACGACAGAATGAGCCTGACACCGAACGACGTGCATCTACAATGATGCACGAGTGCATGTATTAAAAGGGGGACACAATGATGCCGGAGTGCATGTACCCAAATGGTACCGCAATGATGCAAGAGTGCATGTACTAAAAGGGGGACACAATGATGCATGTACTAAAAGGGGGACACAATGATGCCGGAGTGCATGTATCCAAATGGTACCGCAATGATGAGAGATTGCATGTACTAAAAGGGGGACACAATGATGCATGTACTGAAAGGAGGGCACAATGATGACGGAGAGCATGTACCCAAATGGTACCGCAATGATGCAAGAGTGCATGTACGCAAATGGTGCAAGGTTTATTCATATTAAATGAAAGAAACAGAAAGATTGCATTGTACAAGGGTTTTCTTAGAATTATCGAGTTCACGAGGAATTTAATGATTTTTTAACAAAATGAAATTCCCATTCCCTACGGGATTGGTTGGCTTGAGTTCGCCTTTTTTTACCTTGAACGACGAACGTGGAAGAACAGCATCAAAGGATCTTTTTAACTTACAATTTTCTACAGTTTTTTTTAACTTACTTTTCAACTCTCTATTTTATTCAAATTTACAATGGATTTAACCATTAATTTCCGCCTTGAAATTATTGAATATGACTAGACTAGCTACTATGAAATTTATGTTGTGACGGCACAAGTACAACTCTTCCTGCAATTAGTATTCTATTTCAATAATATTTCTGTAACAGGAATAATAATACTAAAAACAGTTGCGCATGCATACATAAAACAACACAAATAATAATTACAATAAAAATACAAAGAAGGATAATGATATACATGTCCATAAAAACATTACAATCACTGTAGGTGATCTGACCCGCAGATGAAGAAGTCCTATTCGTATCTAGTAATGACCTGATTTTTTAGAATAAAACTATTATAATCAGTAGGGTGATCTGACCAGCATTTATAGGAGTTCCATTGTGATGAAATTATAATTAATATTTATAGGAATAAAACTATAGTATAATCAATGGAGATAATCTGCCCTGCAGGTGTAGGAGCACCATTCTAATGTAATAATCACCGTTATGTTCTCATAATCATAAAAATATATAATAATTAGAAGAAGGATGTCTTACCCGCAGGTGTAGGAGCACCATTCTAATGTAATTATAATCAATGTTTTGTTATTATAATCATAATCATGTTATTATAATCATAATTATAAAATTATATAGTAATTAGAAGAAGGATGTCTGACCCGCAGGTGTAGGATCGCCATGTATCGACGCACAGGAGAGGCGCCCCGCAGGCAGCAGGACTGCAGGACGGCGGGGCCCGGCAGGAGGAGGACATGTTCTGCCAGGTGGTCACTTGGCCCCACCTCGTGCCGTTGAGCTCAGGTGGTAGCGGCAGCTGGTGACCGTCCACACGCACGTCCGAAATGCAGCCTAACAGAAACAGGGACTGACACATGCAGCGCCACAAAACTAATAACCTGCATTAAAAAAACTACATAGCTAAAATTAGGTAAAATAAATACGATATTTAAAGAATAATTAGCAAATTTAGAGCCTGATGATAGTTCTGCAATTACTCATGATGTCTCCATGCTGCTGCTAGTCATCAGGAGAGTCAATCATCTTTCAGGAGAGCGCGTTGCATTTTGAAAATATAATTTAAATATCACAATTTAATGGCATAAATTTTCGAACATACGGCATATCATGAACCGTGATTTAAACACGCACATTAGCAAAATAAATAATAAATTCTCACTTTGATAGAAGTCCTCCTCGATGCTGAGGACGTTGATGCCGGCGAAGGAAGGCAGGCCGCCCATGCAGATGCCGTCCTGCTTGTCCACAAGGAGGTTGTGGGGAGACGTCAGGCGCTGGGCTGACGTTGTCAACATCAGAAGACTTTCGTTGCGCTGACGTGCGTCGTCAGCTGCGTCAACCTCGAGCAGGAGCTCATGGCCAAACCTGTGAGCTGACACCGTATGCCACTGACCATCGCTGACGAGATCTGACGTCAGACATGCCTCGGACACAGGGCTTATGGGAGAGCCTCGGGCAGCGGCTTTGTAGGCCGCCACTCCCTTGATGAAGGCGCACAGCTTTCCTCCCTCGAACTGACATGCAAAAGGAACAATAATTCGTAAGAATAAGTAAAATAGTTTACAAAATGATTAAATTTGGGCCTAAAAAGCACAAATAATGGATTAATTTAAAACAATAGTTCGTAAAAATAAGTGAAATAGTTCACAAAATGATCAAACTTGAGCCAAAAAAGCACAAATAATGGATTAATTTCAAACTTGCGTCATTGCCGGGAATGCATTTGCTAAACAAAAAAAAACTTATTGTAATATTGGGGACAACATCAGATGAAAATGTTAAGTGAAATTTTTCTACAAAAACATAAACAACCTTCAAGAGAAATGCTGCAGTTTGATGATGCGCAGAGAGCTGCAGAAGGAGTCCGGTTTTCCTGCGGGTGCGGACCCGGAGCTGCAGGCTGGTGGCCATTGGGTCCGGCGTGAAGGACACGGCCAGCTTTGCGTAACTGCCGCGCTCGAGGGACACTTGCCGGGTCGTCTGCTCACATCGCGGGCCTTCGAAGCCCGGGGCACATGAGCAAGAGACTTGGCTCTTGATGCCCCCCACGCAGCGGCCACGGGCCCCACAGTCGATTTTTTTATCCACACAGGCGTTGTCTTGAATCTGGCAGCCTGGTGACGTCTGCCAGCCGTGCGAAACGTGGCCTAAGTCCATCAACTTTTGGACAAAAACGAGCGGAATTGAAACTATTTCATACGTTGCATATTATCTGGTGGATGTTTATTAAAAGTATAGAATTTTTTTCTTTAATGATTACGTATTAAGGTATTAGATTGCTTGAAAGAAGGTCAGTAACTTACGTTGCCATTTAGACGCAGGTGGGAGATGCAGCCTTTAAAGCCGGTGCTAGTGACACCATCTGAATCCAGTGAATCTGACCCAGATGTCTTGGGCTTATTTCGGGCCTCAGGGGACGCCTGAGCCCGGCCACCGAGCTGTAAAACGCCTGAATGGGCCCAGAAAAAGACGTCATGCGGGTCCCACTTGGCATGGGCCACGCAGTGTTGCCCAGCTTCCTGGTCTTGATTCTGCCAGCCTCTGGCACAGCGGTCCACCATAACTGACAACCCCTGGCACGAAAATCACAAAATATTGATTAAACATACTTTTTTGAAAAAAATTAACGCCAGAATTTTCTATGTGAAACCTTACACGTGTAAGTGAGGGAAAAACAATTCGACGAAATTAAAAGGGTAGTATAAATGACAACGAGCAAATGACTTGATATAAAATCGACAATTCAAGGGTTACATAAGAGAATAATATAAATACAGCTTTATCAGACGGAAAGAAAAAAGCATTTTTCCAGCTATATTCATACAACATTTGAGTTGCCTTAAAACCTCTTTGTTGACTTTACCTCTTCTTTCAGCTGAAGGTGAACTTCATGCCACTTCCCATCGCTAAGAACTTTTGTGGAATTGACAGCAGCAACAATTTTTTTCCCATTTGGTCCCACAATGATGGCTTGCAGCCGCCCCTGCACGAGTTGGACGGCGAGGGCGGCTCTCTGCCGACGACGTACAGAGCTTCGTGCAGACGTCACGTCATCGTTGTCACTGCGGCTCAAGGGCTCAGGCAGGACCGAGTTTCTCCTCGCCAACGAGCCCGAGTACAAGATCATGCCGGTGTCTTGTGTCGTCAGGAAGCTCAAGCTGATGAGACTGGGAGGGCACGGATGCATGGGGGACAACCAAGCCCAGCCAGACCCAGAAAAGGAACGGGTCGCAATTTTGCAGAACGGTCCTATTGTGTGTCCAGGACAAACGCATCTGGAATTATTTAACGAAAAGACTGGTATAATTATTGAAATTCAGTGGGAGTCCAAAAGCTCATCGGACGTTGGACGAAGATCTATAGTTTTTTCAAACAAAGCTTCATATAGATCTTTAATGTATATAAGCATACACGGGGCTCAGTATTTGACTAAAACATTCCCTTCATCACAATGCATTACATTCTGTCAAAGAAACGATCTTTTTCTGGGGCACTAGTGATCTTTAATTAATCATCAAAATAATTTGGGTATAAATTCAAGTAGCAACTGCGTCTTCTCATTGTGATTGATTTTCATACTTAAAACTGTCATATTCATGGGTAAATTGATTTCATTAAATTTTTAAATTAACCAAAAGTCTTACGTGTCTGTCAAAATAAAACCTGCATTAACGCACCTTTTGTAAACTTTTCATCTAGCAAAATTTTGCGTAACAAAGAACGTTTTAAGCCTAGATGAATAATTAAATACCGAAGTTAAAGCTGCATCACCACACAATTGTACATTAAGCGTGATGAGTAGAAGGATTAACGAAAAATGGAAAAAATTTTAAAACCGCAAATACGCAGAGCAACGGTGTAACGGTCATGTGGATATCGGGCATACGATCAAGAGGATATCGGGCACACGGTCATGTGGATATCGGGCACTTGGTCATGTGGATATCGGGCACACGATCAAGTGGATATCGGGCACTTGGTCATGTGGATATCGGGCACACGGTCAAGTGGATATCGGGCACACGGTCATGTGGATATCGGGCACACGGTCAAGAGGATATCGGGCACACGGTCATGTGGATATCGGGCACTTGGTCATGTGGATATCGGGCACTTGGTCATGTGGATATCGGGCACACGGTCAAGTGGATATCGGGCACACGGTCATGTGGATATCGGGCACACGGTCAAGTGGATACCGGGCACACGGTCATGTGGATATCGGGAACTTGGTCATGTGGATATCGGGCACACGGTCAAGTGGATATCGGGCACTTGGTCATGCGGATATCGGGCACACGGTCAAGTGGATATCGGGCACACGGTCATGTGGATATCGGGTACACGGTCAAGTGGATATCGGGCACTTGGTCATGTGGATATCGGGCACACGGTTATGTGGATATCGGGCACACGGTCATTTGGATATCGGGCACACGGTCATGTGGATATTGGGCACATGGTCATGTGGATATCGGGCACACTCTCAAGTGGATATCGGGCACACGGTCATGTGGATATCGGGCACACGGTCATGTGGATAACGGGCACACGGTCATGTGGATATCGGGCACACGGTCATGTGAATATCGGGCGCACGATCATGTGGATATCGGGCACACGGTCATGTGGATATCGAGCACACTGTCATGTGGATATCGGACACGCAGTCATGTACATATCGGGCACACGGTCATGTGGATATCGGACACGCAGTCATGTGGATATCGGGCACACGGTCATTTGGATATCGGGCACACGGTCATTTGGATATCGGGCACACGGTCATGTGGATATCGGGCACACGGTCATGTGGATATCGGTCATACGATTTATACAGAGGAAGTCAACCATAAGCTTGACATTCTTATAATCATAGTAATTAAGCAGTCATTTTACCCAATTTTGGAGCGGCTATTTAATTAAATAACTTCACACATTTCATTCAGATTTAAAATGCCATAATGAATTCCTGATTGTTTCCTAGGATAACATAACAATCATAACACATTGCTAATAAAAGGAAATGCTTACTTACTCTTTACTTGGCTGCAACAAGTCATTTTAATAACAACAAACTTGTGCAAAATTATTTTTCTGTTACTAGGACACGAAGGAATAGTTTAGTATGGCTGCATAAGTTTCGCGGATATAATAAAATTTGGATATGTCAAAACTTAGAAGTGCATGGCTAATAAACATCAATTAACTTTACGCAGGATAAATGATCCTAGTGAAATCATTTTCCAGCTGAACGATTTAAATAAGTAGCGCAAATGAACAAATTAACAATTGATGAGAGTGATTATCTTTATGCTTAATGAGGTTCAGAGCAAAGAGCGGAACAAAGTCTGTTTTAATGAGTCGAAAAAAGTGGCCACTGCATGATGAATAAGCTCCTTGCAGTAATTAACGGCTTAATTATTAATGCCCTGGTTAATAATGACGCGGGTAAATCGTGATTTCGAAACAATTATAGTTTAGAGCACTTTTCTCAGAGTTTGAGCTGCAATTAACAGGAAATGAAGAAATGAATTATTTCATGGCTCGATCCTTTTTTCGATTGGATCCATGCTTGGATCCAATCTTGGATGCGATTTATATTAAAAATCTTTTTATGATTGCATTTTATTTTCATGATTGGACCCTTCATAGGCATTTTCTAAAAATGTTGCATATGGTACAAAAAGTAGCATAAATTTTAATTTAAAACTCACCGTTGTCCTCGCTGGAATGTGCCGCAGCGGCCGCCGTTGAGGCAGGCGTCGGGGCCGCAGGTTCCTGTAGGAGGCGAGCCCAGAGACGACGACATCGTCACGCTCCCTGACGGTGAGTGCAGGTGGCAGACGAGGGGGCGTGACAGGCGAGGTGTCACTAGGGCACTGTTGTTATTGTCAACAACCTGAGCGGAAAAAAAAACTAATCGATAAATATTCTATCGTAATTCAGTTGAAGAATATGAAAGAATATCAGCGCTGTGAAAAAATGAAAAAATGTGGAAGATTTTTCTGATTTTCTGTGTATTTTCTAAGATGATTTTCCAACAATATTAGCGAAATTTGTTAATCAAATAATGATAAACCTGACAGTAAAATTTCGCTGATAATTTCAAGGTGCACTTGAGCTGGTAATTTACCTCGGAAGAAGACAAATTGCGAGAAAAATAGATTAAATTTGTCGATAGACTTCCTCTCTCAAGTTTAACAAAAATTACAGTCGCTTCTAGACTGCTGACGAAAAAAAAATTTGATTTTGCTTAGATCAGAAGAATGACGTCACCTGAATCAGAGGATTGGAACTAGACTAAGCCTTATTTATTGTAAAGGGATGGGAGGTTGTCCTTGATTGGATGACCGGACCTATCGGCTGAAGGCCGGCAGGCGATGAACAATGAAGACGAGCCCGTCTAGAGGTGATTGCGACTCAGGATGTCATGACGACGAACAACTTTCGGACACCAACGACTTAATTGGCAGGGTTAAGTTCTGAGGACGTGTGAAGTGCCTGCAGCGGACCGGTTGTGGACGTACCTGCAGCGGAACGGTTGTGGACGTACCTGCAGCGGAACGGTTGTGGACGTACCTGCAGCGGAACGGTTGTGGACGTACCTGCAGCGGAACGGTTGTAGACGTACCTGCAGCGGAACGGTTGTGGACGTACCTGCAGCGGAACGGTCGTGGACGCTAGAGACGTTGCTGACGATGAAGTCCATGTAACAGGCGGCGAACTGAAGGAGAAGTGCGATGGGAAAACCTGAGCCTCGTCGTCTAAAAAGACATTTTTATTCGTTGCGTCTTCGATCTGTTCCGAAGAAAAAAAAACACGCAATGTGGCAATGAGTGTTCAATTTAATTAATCATTCGACATATAAACAATTATGTTTACGACATGGCTTTAGCAGAAATTTATGTCACTGCCTCTTCGTTCGCCGCTTTTAGCGAGCGAAGGTTGGTTGATGCTCATTGCGTAAAAATGCATGAGATTTGTGGTTCGTTATTGTCCGTTAGTGATGTTTTTTATATAGTGGCTATAGACTGGTTCAGTTAGGCGGGAATCGAGATCATTTGTGATGTCTCTGTATGTCTTTACACCAAGATACTAGACGCTGACTGAACATAAAATATTTCTTGTCATCTTTACTCGGGAGAAGTGGAGTATTTAGACGCTCGCAGGCCTGAGGCCATACTTTCAAAAATCGCAGCAGTAAGTGAACGTAAGTACTTACGCTCTATTTCTTGTCCATGATTGGTGGATTTTGCTTAAAAGGCCGTCAATGGTTGGTTCATGAACATACGATCTCTTAACTTTTTAGCCCATTTTCTAATTTATGGAAAAAATGCCCTATTGTGCTTGCCGTGCTCGCCATGTCCGTCCGTCCGTCTGTTCGTCTGTCTGTCCGTCCGTGACTTCAAGTTTTCGTCGACGAGAAAATGCGCTCTCTTTCACTCACTGCAGTGAGTACTGAGTTGTATTTTTTTTGAAAGTATAGGCCCTGGCATGCAAGCAGCGCAGAAAAAAGCGCTTGCATTTTTGGACGATGCACGTACTGACGCAAGGTTAAAAAGATTAAAGACACATTTCCATCAAATCGAACAGAAATTTATAGTAAAGCTGTAAAAACCCATGCAAAATAAGTACTTAATGAATAAGGAATAGTTACTCACTTCGTTTATATGTAGACCGATGAGACCTTGCAGTTTAATGGCGTCCATGTATGTGCCATCGTCCAATTTCGCCGAGAGCCAAAGTCGCGTCGACGGTTGGTTATCGTACCCAGACCACGATGCATCGTCGCTCCCCTTAGACCCATTTTTAAAAATATTTCCTCGGTTTTGAGAGTTGTCAAAATTTGATGTGGTGGACTGGGACTGGTCAATGGGATTTGATGGGATTTCTTGCTGGTTAATGTGGTCGGCAACCTGGTTCACGTTGGTCCCCGAGTAGTCTTCAGTCTGGTACTTGGCTGTGTATTTGTTAGACAAATGTGGTTCGACGTCTTGCATACCCTTGCTGTCGTCAGAAAGACTGACAACCTCCACAGATATGATGAACTCCTTGAGGTGCTGATTCACTGCATCCAACAACGTGCCCAGCATACCACCGCCCAGCTTATGAATGAAAATCCGCGCGTTAAACCACTGGAATTACACTGATTATAATCTTCAGTATCTATGAGGTAATTTTTTAATGTAATGTATTCGTTATATTTTACTCAGGGTGAAATGCTAAGTAACATGCTTGGGCTGGGTACAATAAGTACCAAAAGTTACAAGACAAGCAACACTGCGTGAAGCTAAGGTATCATAACTCACGGAAGGAGTCCAGTGGGCAGTGAGTTGCTGTGCAGTGACGGGGTACAGCGTCAGCTGGACGGCGTGTGTGAGGGCGGTCTGGTCCAGCTCACGGACCAGCACAGACACGTTCGCGGCTACGTTGTGCTGCTGCCACAGCGAGTCAGATACGCTCAGGAACAATTCATACCTGCGATACATGATCAAACAACCTTATGACCGTGCCTGAAAAATTAAATGACACGCAAAATGTATGAAGATTAGGCCGAGCACGACACATTTAAACGCCTTAACGTAAATAAAAGGTGCACAAATTCGGCAACCAGTATTTGCAAAACGCAAGATTGATCTCGATAATGTCTGTTGGTGACGGTAAAATAAAAATTGAAGCTCGTACATCATCAGTAATTAGTAGAAGAGATTATTTGGATAGAGGCAACGTGTGTGCATCGCAATTACATTAGAGACGAAGAACAAAATAATGTAGGAGCATGTGCCTGCATTTCTTGCAAAGGTGTTTTGATGAGTGAATCGGTATATATACTTGTGATTGCAAGGTGACATCAACATTTTTGTGAACAAAAAGAGCAAATGACGATGGGCTTGAAAAAACAATGCTGACCGTCCTTCCCTGACGTGGGCGGAGGAGTACAGCTGCCCTGTGGAGTTGTCGAGGCTGAAGAGAGGATGGGGGGCGCCGCGCCACGAGAAGCTCTTGTCCCTAAGGTCGTAGTCGTCGGGGTCGTCAACGTACACGCGCCCGAGGGATGCTTCGCCACTGCCTCCCTGACCAGGGCATGTCAGTTGCATGGCGATTAAGTGATAGTGGGAACTGCATGATGTGGCATTTGAGTGGCGACTAAATGAAGAGGTGAACAGATGTGGCATTTGGGAGACGACTAAATGAAGAGGCGAACAGATGAGTCATTTGGGAGACGACTAAATGAAGAGGTGAACAGATGAGTCATTTGAGTGACGACTGCTTGAAGAAATGTAAGTCTTGTATAGGATGATAGGTAGGTGAGAATTAGCGGCTGGCAGACGAGTTGAAAATTGAGGGCTTCAAGCCCATGAATGATCTTTAGCCAAGACCAACAAAAATTCTAGTAAAATCAAGATCGAAATGTAATTATAAGGTACTGACAAATGTTAATTAATTTTTATTACTTTTAAGTGGTAGATACTTAAATGAGAAAATAAAATACTCCTATAAGCAATACTCCTCAAATGTATGTTAATAAACAATTTTGGTGCTACTTTTCCAGCCACATTCTTATAGTAGTTACAAGGGGAACAATGAATCGTTCGTGTCTGTGAATGGGAGACATAACTTGAGGCGCTCTCACCCGCACTCAAGGTCAACCTGAGGCTTCTAAGTTCACTCAGCGGGCACATAACAAGAAGAAGTTCTCACCCGCGGTATCCAGAGGTGGACGGTCTTGGTGGCAGGCAGCATGGGGTTGTCGTTTGTGTCATCAACATGAAGCACCAGCGGGTGTACTGCGGACAACCCTCCAGCATCTCTCACCAGAACCTGAGTTGCGACAACATTCGGCAAAATAGTTTGAGTAATAGTTTGACTAGGCAAAATAGTTTGAGTACATTTCATTGTAGTACAGAATGTGAATAAACACGGATGATTTCAGTCGAAAACCAGTGAAAGCAATCATACGAAAGGATCGAAAATTTATAGAAGCTCTGACAAGGCACAATCAGTCTCTCAGTATGTTTAATACTCATGATATATAAAAGTATCAATCTTTCCAGGATATGGAATAAGATTGAGAAACATAGCATATGAGATAATAGAACAGATCGAGAGAACTAAGACGTAGTTATAATAATCTTCTGTGAGGCAAAATAAAAAGATTCACCCAGGCACTTATGGAAACCGAAAGCTAGTACCTAGGATAAAACAATGTTTGCTTGCTGTGCATGTTGCTTCCAGATTTTGATTATAAAGACTAAAACAACGAAAGAAGGAACTATGAAGCGTTCTATCTTATGAGTATTAAACAATTTTTGATGAACAACTTTATGAGAATAAGCAAAGATTCCAATGAATGCACATTGCAGTACAATTCTTTTAACTTGTTTGGAAAACGGTAAAACAAATCGATGTAAGCTATAAACTCACTTGATGAATAAATCTATTTCCCAAGTGTAACTTTTATTTAATCTAAGGAAGTGATTTTATTTTCCTTTATAAAAGATTTAATTTACTTTGACAAAGCGCAGTACTTTGTCATTAAATGTAAATGCTCGTAAAACACAATGTTGAACCTTATAGAGAAAATCTTGCTCGAATGTCAATTTATACTTCAAATACGTCTTCGATATTGCGACGTGAGCTCGTTTCGTCCCCAGTTTCAGGACCAAGATCCTTTCGAGCAGATTATATACGCATACAATATGCATTGCCTTAGATTTGGCACAAAGCAACTTCATTGTACTTCATTTGAATTCACTTGCCTGTACTCTCCTCAACTTGATATGGTGCACACGTGATTTGCTGGCATGTATTTCAAACTAATATGTCAGCATTTGAAATCGATGTTTGTTGAAAGTCAGCCATCGAATACCACTGCGCTGTTGGCTTGTTGAGATTTTCATTATTAATTAATTCTTGCATAGAAACGTCATCGGTAAAGTTATTCTCAATTTGAAGCTCGAGTCAATTCCCTTATTGAGGGCTTTTAGTCAACCTTTAATAAAGCATGCTTGCGCATTCCTCAACATTTGATCTTGAACAAGGATGGAATAGTCTAGCTCCTACAATTTAAAATAAATTGCAAGCGAGAAAGAGAGAACAAAATCCATTAGAAATAAAATCTTCAATTTTGCATAACAGTACATTTAACACTGCTCTACACGGGGGCATGTCATGGATTTTGTTATTGTTTAAGTGATCCCCCAGATAACTGATGAAACGCCTCTTCTTCTACTAGGACTGTAACATATCATGCTAGAAACTCAATAATTTGCAAAACTACATCTAAACCGGTGTGAAAATAGGAAGGAAAACTGCATCAGCGGGCTGTACCGAAAATATTATTTCATTCTGAAAATTCTATGCCTGAACTCATATTGTCGAATTCATTCTGCTCGTTAATCTATTACTTCAGATCCATTCAACACTTCTTATATTCCTATAGCACAGGTATGAAATATTGCATTACTGATGCGTACTTTTTCCTTTTATTTGAATCCGACTTCAATTGGCACACAGACCCGCAAGAAAAAGTTATTTTATATTATTAGGTGTTCATTTTACTTGACGCCAAACATTTCCATTATACGCATGCATTATTCTTTACGTCGCGGGGCTCACGCACCTGCACGACGACGGTCTTGTGGCTCTCCCTGTCGATGGGTCCAGCGGTCCAGAGCTCTGCGCCACCACGTCCGTGGTCAAACACTGATCCATACAAAGAACATCATAAATGCATGTAATAACGTTATTAATCAGTCGTTACATTTAATAGTTAAAAATTTCCCCCAAAAACTCTACATTTAAACATACGTATGTTTAATCACTATAAATTTGTTATGCACTATAATTTATTATTTTATTGGCAAATGCAGGAATGTGAGTGAGCGAAAATATATGGTCAAAACAACGAAAGCGATTAAACAGCATTCAATAGATTCATTATGATGAATATGACATCAAAAACAAGTGAATGAATCAATTTCTCCAGAGCAATTTTCTACTTGATGTCGGGCTCTTCATCGCTCACTCTCGTGGTCGAAAGTCACATTGAAAACAAAATGCATTATATTGCAGCTAATGCAACGATAACATAAAATTCTTATCCTTCCATTGCCTGGTAAGATGTACAGATTCAATCATAATCAATTTCCGATATACATCAATAAACTTCCGATTCCATGCAAGTTAGCGATTCAAAACGGTATGATTATCACTTATTTACCGCAACCAAAACAAGCACTAAGGGGCTAATTAGAAGATGAAGAACACGGACAAGAGAGAACTTTTATTACAAGACACGATATCTAAAATGTCAGAGATTGTTCGTTCCAGCGAGCTAAGGGAATGCACAAATGTTAACCCCTTTTTGTTCATTAGGATTAACTAGATAAAAAAATGTATCGTTGAAAATGTGCCAGAGAGTTTTCATTACTCATTTGGTCTAAAACAGGCGAAACGCTAAAATAATGTCATATATAATGACAATAACAACATCGACGACAGTTCTAGTTAAGTTAATAGACTTGGAACTTGTTTGGCCAGCAGAATAAATTGTCTAAAAATTGCGTGTAATATAAAGTTCTGAAAAATGTTTGAGTTTGAACCAAAGTTCAAAAATGCATCATCAAGAGAGCAAAACGACCAAAAATAATATGAATAATACAGATGCTCCCTCCTTTAGTCCCTCACACAAACTGGTGCAACTTAAATTAGAATTGAGGATGAAAAATTTTCCTAATTACGACCTCGTTTGATAACATAAAACGCGCTTTTAACGAGTCGATTGGCCATGCAATGAAGATTGAGAAGTAAATTTATTCCAATGATATATGTTTTTATAGCTAAGATCATCAATGAAGTTGAGAACAATGGAAGTGTACCGTTAATCATTTAGAAGAAAAATAATAGCACGTTTTGCGATAGATAAATAAATGAATAAAATATTGTGAAAAGTGAGGCAAATGTCCGAGCTTATTACGCGTCAAACTTCATACAACATCAGGGGATTCGCAGCAGAATTTTAATAATTAAAACATTGCTCTGAAGTCAGTTGTTCCTAATATTTCTATATGACAGTTTTAATATAGGCATCACGCATTAATATTAATAAAATTATGAGCAGCACGAAAAGGTAACATAAACTGGCATCAACACAGTTGACGTAAAGGACGTTTAAAGCGAATTACAACGGAGAAAAGTTAAATGGTATTTGAATATTTCTACTGCGTATTGGGATAATAATTTGATTGGACTATAATTTTTCTTTTGGACTGAAAATGTGGGCATGATTAGACACAAAGAAGTATATACCTGTAGTATAAAAATTGTTCGTGGAGAATTCTGAATTTTCATTAATATATGCGGTCCTGCCAATGTTACTCGTTAACTAGAATACTGCGGATAGATAGTCCAGATAAAAAATAAATTTTAGACTCTCTCTTTGTGGAGATCACTATAGTAAGCGTTACTAGCGTTGTTAAAAACAGAGATAATGTTGATTAATGTGGCTATTACATTCAAAGAACTTGGCTTTTGGTGAAAAATTATCCGGTCAAAAATCGTGCAATAGTTCAGCGGAGGCACGAGCGCATCTGTGGGCGAGATAGCACAGGCCCCGACCAAGATTGAGGTAAACTTTCAATGGACGATCATCGGAAACCGTTTGGGCGAGGCCGAGTGAGCGCAATGATTGCCTTCAAGCGATTGCAGATCGCGGGACGCGCGATAGCTCTGCCGTCCGCATCGTGGGCGTTGGAGGCATGGAGCCGGAGGCGGACAACAAAGATGATGGCCATCGAAGATTAGAAACTCATTAAAAATGCTCTAGAAAAACTAGTCCCAATCAGTGATCAGGGCTCATGAATCTAAGTCTACATTAGCAGTTGGACAGTGTCTGAAAATTTGTTATTGATCCGCATTTGGGGTTATAATAATTGTGAAAGTATTTAGTAAAAAGGTTAGAAAGCCCAGATGAACCGAGATAAAATCCCCCCGTGATTTAGATCAAGAGATACCGACAGGTAAATATCAAAGAACAACAAAAACATTGTTTTATTAATAAACAAGAAAACGGTTAGTCAATTATTTTCTTCCTTATTGGCGACTTAATTTAATAAAATTATTGTATTTAACCAAGCTAACTTACAAACTTTAAAAAGGGAGACAGTTCTATCGCTCACCTATTCTTCGTACAACATAACCACAAAAAACCCAAGAACATTTTTGATTTACTCAGCTATAAACAAACGCCCAAGCAAAGAGGATTGTGCTTCAGAACATCACGCTGTACAAATCAAGTAAGTTAAGGCGTGCAATTTTTAGAAGGAACGCCACTTTTCTGCGATGCGCACAATGCAATCGCGACAAGAAGTTCACTGCGTCAACTTCAGGGCCACGATCAATGGCAATCGTGTTAGACGAGCTTTCCGACAAACACTTGTGATACACCAGCGTCCCGACAAACATTTGCGTTTTACCAGCGTTCAGACAAACACTTGTGTTACTTCAGCGTTCTGACAAAGACTTGCGTTACTCCAAGGTTCCGAAAAACACTTGTGTTACACCAGCGTTCCTATAAACACTTGTGTTTCACAAGCGTTCAGACAAGCACTTGTGTTACTCCAGCGTTCTGACAAAGACGTACTTGCGTTACTCCAACGTTCCGACAAACACTTGTGATACACCAGCGTTCCGATAAACACTTGTGTTTCACAAGCGTTCCGATAAAAACTCTTGTTACATGCACCCAGCGTTCCGACAATGACTAGTTTTGCAATTTCTTGACTGAAACTCCACATCGCGAAAGCCGGGCCAACTTACGTCAACTGATGCAGGCCGAGAAATAGTAAAAATAGGAGCTGCCTGAACAAGTTCGAATCAATAATTCCTAACTTATATGGCTGATTTCAGTTCGAAGGAGAAATTTATTAATAGTGAAAGGAAGAAAAAATAAGAGATCACCAATAGAACAAGAAGTCGATTTTTTCGTGCTAAATATAAAGACTGCTCTATTATCTTAGCACATACTAGGCTGCTTAGTGTGTAACTATTCTATTATCTTAGCACTGACTGAGGCAGCTTGTGTAAATATTCTATTATCTTAGCACTGACTGAGGCAGCTTGTGTAAATATTCTATTATCTTAGCACTGACTGAGGCAGCTTGTGTAAATATTCTGTTATCTTAGCTCTGACTGATGCAGCTTATCTAAGTATTATTCTCTTATCTTAGCACTGACTGAGGCAGCTTATGTAAATATTATTCTAATATCTTAGCACTGACTGAGGCAGCTTATGTAAATATTATTCTAATATCTTAGCACTGACTGAGGCAGCTTTTGTAATTATTAGTCTAATATCTTAGCACTGACTTGGCAGCTGCTTGAGCTGGACCAGCTGGAGGACGTGAGCTGGATTGTTGGGCGCGAGGCTGAAGTTGAACGGAGGGCCGTGGCCCAGCGCCCACACGTCTCTGTCGGTGGCCTTCAGCACCCCGACCTGAGGGGCGAGTGGCGGGGGGGGGAGGGAAGGTGCTAATGTTATCTTATGATCACTCGAACTTACGACTAAACTAACTGGAGATCACTGAGTGAGAAACTAGATTCATAATATTCATTCGATAATTATAGCAACATACATATTGTCTTATTGTTTTGCAGTTATAGGCAGTATGTACAGAAAGTATTTGATCTACAGTTATGTGAACAAACCTCATGCTTATTGCCCAATATTTGAAACATTAGTAAATTGGCTCAGCTGATGGATGTGTATCACAAAATTGTCATATGCAGTGACAATAAAAAACTGAAAACTATTGCAACTGGTTGTTACCGCTTTATTATGAACAGTTCACAATTGACATTCTTGGCTAAATAAATCATAAATATTTGATTATTTTATAGATTTCTTACCTTGGTTGCCTGACTCTCTTCCGTGACGCGCATGAACGCAGGCATGACCACCACTTCCGGCGGACAGTCGTTGACGTCTGTGAGTGTGAGGGTGACGGTGGCCGTGGCAGAGAGAGGAGGAACTCCCCTGTCCACCGCGATGACTTTAATGGTGGTCACACCTGTGGCGGACACATGGTCGGCCTCCCTGTCCAGCTGAGACACCACGCGCACTGTGCCGCTTTTGTCCACCAGCAGAAAATTGTTCCACTTATCGTCCAGGTGATAGTCGATCTTCTGCGTGCCAACCTGGATGAGAAATAATGACGAAATTGTTAAAAAATATAACTCAGTACTTACTGCGGTGAGTGACAGAGAGCGCTTTTTCTCGTCGACGTAAACGTGAAATCACGGACAGATGGACGGTCAGACAGACGGACAGACAGACGGACATGACGAGCACAATAGGGCATTTTTTCAATAAATGAGAAAATGCGCTAAAAATGGATTATCGTCAAGCCAAACCGCTGAATCTCGTTTCGTCCAGGCGGTATAGTTGATCTTCTGCGTGCCCTCCTGGATGATGATGAGGAAAGACGAAATCGTTATTGTGGAGAGCTTCCCAAACATATCGGCTATCCATCAATTGTGGAGGCGATAGTGATAAGGAGAAACGTCTCAGAAACTATAGGTACAAAGCTTAATTGGGATCTTCAAAAAAAACACACACAACTTGCTCGCCAGCAAAATCATTAGCCCCTACAGACATGACATGCTAACAGGTGTACAGCAACAAGCCCTTCTTACCGGACACCCCTAAGTCTAATACAAAAAACTTACCGATAACCCACTGCGAAACCATTACACGTTGAAAAATGAGTTTACGCGTTCATTCGCGGCAAACGAGAGCTCCCTGATTCCACGAACTAGGTTTCATCCAAATGTGAAATTCATTTGTTTCAAATCTTCCATTAGGGACCATTACAGAGGGAATTTCAAGGAGCTGTACTCGAAAAGCCCTGATCCTCGAGATAGAAGGTAAATCTGGTACTCACGTCCACCGGCCTGGAATAATCATTAAATACACAAAATAGGCTTAATATTCTAATCAAGCAAAGCTCGATCACAAAACTACAAATCAGTCGGGGGATGTATGTCAGTATTTATCCTATGCATTTTTACATGTTGGAAATTGTGAAAATAAATGTAACATTTTTCTGATTTTATTTATCATCGCTACTTGCTCAGTAATTTAACGTCACTCAAAGCAAAAATGAACATTTTATTAGTGGCTCCGTTTCAAGAAAAATCCTCGTCGCACGAGCATTAGGATGAAATGCGGACAGAGGAACGGATCACCACGTACGTCCGGAATATATTCTTCGATAACATGCACACAAACATAGGAATTTCGGCTTGGCGAATTTCAACCTCAAACTGGCAGAAATTTATGCCATGAATTGAAAAATTCATCGCGGTTTCTAGTTGGGAAAGTCATGATATGCGAACCTGAAGCAGACATGTTACGATTAGATCAGAAATACACAAAAAATTTTAAAGCAATTTTTATAGGTCTCGGAGAAAACGAAAATTACAAGTGCTTCTGATATCGTAGGGAATTGCAACGCAACTTTTTACGGATAAGACAAAGCGTAAATATCTTAATTCAGAAAAAGTAATGATGCGCAGTAGAATATGTTTTTAAAGGCCGAGAGTATTTTTAAATAAGAAAAATTGCACATAGCAGACAAATTTTGTTATACGTTCTTATCTGCAATCCATACTTTTAGCAAAGAAAAAAATCACCGATGATCGGAGTGGGAGTCTTATTTGACACTATGATACATGCCTACTCCTACACACGTAATAACCAGCACACTAAATTTCATTTTGTTGACTTGAAATTTTTCATAATACCTGAAATCCTGATTCTGCCTCTAATCAGCAAGTGAGCCAATTGAACACAAGAGGGGGCCAATTGAACAAGTACAGCAAGTGGGCTAATTGAACTGGCTCTAAAGAATTGTAAATGACAAAATGACACTATATATATAGAATAATTGCAGGCAGAAGTAGGCCATGCGGAACAAGTTCGTTAATAGCTGATGAAAGTTGACGCAATCCTGTGATCCACACTAGGTTAAGGAAGATAAAAAAGTGAATTGCAAAAGCACCTCGGAGTTGAAAGAATTTAATGAACCTCCAAGACGCAAGCGTACGTAGTACATTAGTTGCAACGCAGGTAAAAAACGGAACGCGGATTAGACTGAAACGCAGTGTCACGGAATGGGAGTGTTCTGCCATCGTGACACGTATTAATTACATTCTCTCTGCATGGATATTCATCGGTCTACTCGTGCATGTATTTTGTACTGCAAAAATAAACAGATTATGAAATAATCTTTGCAAATTTTATGAAGAGAGTTCAATGATGAATAGTTACACTGAGTAGCCAGATACGAACGCCAAATCTTTCATTTGTTTATGATTTCGATAAAACGAAACTTGATTAAAATCCGCGATACATCACGAGTGTTTCCAGAATAAAAGCAACCCAACAACAGACATTACATCACTAGCTGTCGTTCTTTTTCAAAGCAAAACAATTAAGACAAAGCTTTATTCGGAGGCATAACACAGTGCGAACCTTCGCAAAAACTGCAAGCCTATATAAGCGCCTACATGCATAAATAAGTCACGCTGCTGCAGTCGTCAGTCACATCATAAAATCAAGCTCAGGTTGAGAGTGAGTATCATTGTCATAGTGGCGCTCACTCTCATTCACATGCCAACTTTCAACCCATTATGTCAAATGGCGTGAATGAGCAAGAGATAAGGCGATGAATGCTCAGCGAAAATTTTCTAGATTAACTGAGGCATTACACAAGGTAAATTTAAGAAGATGAAGATAAAATATTTTCACACGATTTATTCAAGAAGAAAATGTGGAAATATATGTGTAAGATAAAATCGACAATGAAATAAGTGTTAAAAATTGTAATTGTTTTCAATCAGAAATTTTATCGTTTGTTCCTCGGAAATGATTCGTAATTGCTTGGAGAGGGAGAGCGTGATATTCAAACAAAGGAATTTTCTTCCTTTAATTAGTTGAAAGTGAGGAATTCCTACGAAAGTTCTTCCCTCACTCCGTTAAAAGTGAGGAAGTCACCCGGAAGTTCTTCCCTCACTCCGTTAAAAGTGAGGAAGTCACACGGAAGTTCTTCCCTCACTCCGTTAAAAGTGAGGAAGTCACCCGGAAGTTCTTCCCTCATAGTTCTTCCCTCAATCCGTTAAAAGTGCAGAAGTCACACGGAAGTTCTTCCCTCTCTCCGTTAAAAGTGAGGAAGTCACACGGAAGTTCTTCCCTCACTCCGTTAAAAGTGACGAAGTCCTACAGAAGTTCTACCATCACGCTGCCTGAACAATTTGGTGTTCCTGAACTAGTAACAGGAACAAGAGTTGGTGCGAACAGTAGATAGGGAAGGATTAGCAAACACAAAACTAAACAGGAAGGCATAAGCTTGAACTGCATTATTAACAGAAACGTCATTTCAGCAAAGAATAGCCGTTTGATACACTAAAGATTCTTACTCGCCAAAATCAGAAAAATTTAGAGCTTGAACACAAATAAATGAAAATTCATAACAAGAAAAGAAATGTGCAGAAATTTCCTACATGTATTTACTAGTATCAACATATACTACAACCATGACGACTATTCGTAGCGTCCCATAAGTTTTCGTTCAAGTTCATTTTGTTATTTTATATTGTCCCAGAATTTTACGTGGCTGCATTTCATGAGCAATATGATGCACCAAGGAAGCATCGGGACGGTTTATTCGGCAACCTCGAGAATAAAGAGAAAATTTACAAGCCGCCTGAATTTCCGAAGAAATTTCGAAATGCGTAGGACGACATCGACGACGGCCGGAACAAATGCACGGCACGACTAGTAACTCAAGGGTGACACTGAGGGCACGTACTTTCCTGTGAGAATTCCCTCGAGCTCTAATAATTCATTCATTATTTTGAACCGCAGTTCGACCTTTGAGAAATGTTGAGTGAGAAGATAAGTTCGGGCATCGAGGAAGAGTCTACTTCTATTTTCTCGTCGACGAGGCAGGACGAGTTAAGAAAATAGTAGATTGAAAATTAAAGAGACCTGAAAGAGAGTCAATTACAATCCGATTACTCTTCGCCTAAAACTATTCCTGAAGTTTTGATCGCATTAGATTATAAAAAATTGAACGAGGAAAGGGGTTCTTTAGGAACTTCATAAAATATATATTCCTTCCGTGCCCCAAAACATCAGTAGTTGCAATGAGTTCATTTTTATGGAGTTAGAGGTAATAGAAGCGTATTCTATAAAAACGACCATGATAAAATAGAGCCTTTAGAATATTCCGATATATTTTCATGGTGATCGAGTTATTTCAAGCATCTCTAACGAGATAATATGGAAGCCGCGCTGAAACGATTTCTTTTAGAAAGCGTAACCAAAAAGACCACTTCTGGATATTTTCGTCCCGCGCCTTCATAAGAGGCTTTCACGCGAGCCTGTAATATAGACTTGCAATTGAAAAATAATATTTTTTCATCATATATGAGCGGTCAAGGTATATGAAATCTCGCTCGCAAATGATTCCGTTGACAAATTTAAAAAAATAAAATAAAGTGTTGACATGAAATTTAATTAGGTCCGAATGCAAGAAGGTTAAAGTTGATTCTGACGAGAATGCAAGTGAAACTTCAATGCTAAATAAACGAGGATTTTTACTGTGACGAACTGAATAATTGTTCATCACAGCAAACAAACTAGCCAAGGTAACCAAGCAAGGTATTTGCGACGTGTCGTTAGATTTAATATGTTGACTTTTCCATTAAGTCTGAAGAATTAGGAACTCGGGTAAAAGAAAAATACGCAAGACTACGTAAATGAGATTCAAGAAATTTGAAATCTTTCCAATATGAAATGTTGGAAATTATATTGTACTCCAAATTGACATTTATTTCAGAGACAAAAGTCCTTTAAACTTAAAAATAATTAAGTGCAGGGTTAGACACTGCCGGGTCAGGGCAGTAAACATTAAGGGACACAAATGTGTGATGTAAAACACACCTCGTCGTCCTTTATAAGAACACACCTCGTCCTCGTCATGTGCAGGCATGGAGACGAGGAGGGTGCCTGGGACGACGTCTTCCTTGACGGTGACGAAGGCCTCGTGACGCTGGAACTGCGGGTGGTTGTCGTTCACGTCCTTAAGGGTGACACTCACCCACGTCTGCGCCACGTGACGAGGGTCTGACCAGCCCCCAGGACCCTTCAGATGCCCACAAATTTAAGAACAGAAACGTGCAGAAAAACTGAAAGATTTTTGAATGTCTTACCAATACGGATCAATTGTACCAAACATATTTAGACATTATTTGCAGAGCATTACAACGATGAAAAAAATTCAGAGAGAAAGGCATCTCGTTTAAGCAAGTTCACATTTGAGTTTAGTTTAAAAAAATAATAAAGAATGTTATTCAAAGTTTGATTTACCGGCAGTTGAAATTTGAAATTTATAGTATCCAGAGCATTTTTAAGCACAAATGTTATTCAATTAGGATTGCAAAATTGACGTGCGACCTCATCGTCAAACGCCAGTAAATTTTTTATTATACGCTTTTATCCCCGACAACTGGAGTCCATGATTGTTCACGATAAAGTCTGCTCTCTCAGCCTTCTTTAGCTGAATTTAATGGTACACATGCGTGTAAATGACGATATACAGAATTTTATATACAACGGTAATTATTATACTAGATCATTTTTTCGGACCGTGAGCCTCGCGCTTTTGAAATTAAAAGAATTATAGCGAGCGTGCCTAGATGAGTTGCTGGCGATCGTTGGTCTCGATGCGTATCAATTCGTCGCAAATCAGTTTTGGAACGTTGATTTCAAATGTCTCTTCATTATAAGGTGCAAGGTATTGAAAGTTCGTTGATTGTAATTCAGGAAAAATTCTGTACCCAAGAATTTTGTTTTCACAACCAAGAAATAAGAATAATGTTCTTTGCCACCAAACATGGATGTCCAAATCACTCACTGATTCAAATATAATAACGAGCTCAGACGCAAAACCATATCTGAACACATGACAACTTATTGTTTATGAACAAAGCGAGTGTTACTTTATTGGTGAGAGTTCTCGGACGATATTTATAACATGCATATATATTGTTGAATTTAATAGCATTCAACGGACAACTTCGTGAGTTTACAGCACTTAAGAAGTTCAGAACTTGGGCAGTGAACTCTCATATAATATAATCATTATCCTCAAGCCTAACTTATTCCTCAAAGTGAATAATAACAAAAAATACTAAGAGAAAAAAGGAGTATTAAGAGGCTAAGCTATGAGCGGCATCGCGGAGAAGCCATAGAGGGCCAACGCTTCAGAGGCTCTTACGCTAGCCATTTGGGCGGCCTCATTAGTTTAACGAGAGCTCGCGATCTACACTTACTTTTGCAATGATTATGTAACTCATTTTAAAATGATCTCATTTGGGTCTGCAGCACGCGGGTTGCTTTTGTTAAAGCAACTTTAAGCAAAGTGCAGTTGACACTCAAAAGGCAATAGAAAATTAGAGGATTGCTAAAATAGAGTTGATATGAAGTGTCGTGGCTTAGAGAAGTCGGATAGCGCTCTCAGGAATCGCGTGACATTGATGGAAGACATCCAGAGAAGTGTGCAAGTTGCGTCCAAGTTAAATGGATACAGAGAAACGTGCTCAAGCCCATCAGTTACAGACGCAATACTGGCTCAAGAACCAAGCGCTGTTCACGAGTTGCGAGGTCTTGTGAGTGTGGAAGAATTGCAACTGTCGCCTTAGTTCTCATCACTAAAATGCTTAGATCCAGGCGCGTGGAAATTTAAGATCAAGCAACTGCTTCTTAGGAAGCGCTTCACTGAGCACAAATTTAATTTAGTGCGTTTACAATTTCAATCTCTGAAGTAGATATCCAAACAGATGCTGAAAGATACGGTGGTGGGTATATATTGTATTTATAAACAATGAAATCAAATGTGCATTATATTAGTATGAAGCTCTCAGGTATGGAGCGAATACTTTTAAACCTCGAAATACTGAAAAATTAATAAATAACAATTTTGCAGCATATTAGGGAAATAAAATTTTATAAGTTGAAGATCATTGCGAATATTCACGCCTAACAGACTTGCCGAAGAAAGAACAGCACACGACACGACACCGTACCATAAATCATCATGTAAGAACTGAGTTTAAAAAAAAATATATGATAAAAACCATAAATTTTGATACACAGCCAAAAATATAATAACTAATATGAAATGTTATAGCTAGTACTCATATGAAAACTAAGCCTTACCTTGTCAGTGACGCGGACCAAGAAGCGGAATCCGCGCCTGTGCGTCTCGTTCTCGTAATCAAGCGTCTTGGCCACGAAAAGTTTTCCCTGAACGGACGGGGGCGGCACTCGGCCAGGCCGTGCGCTCGTTTCCCTGCTCAGTTGGTCGTCGAGCTCCGCCAGGCGCTGGAAATTATCTCTGGTGTAGACGGAGAGGTCGCGGTCGTATGCAGACAGAATATCGCTCACTGTCTGGGCCTCCTTCACGTCAATCAAGTCAGTCGAGCTCGAGTTGCTGTCAGGTACGGGAGACTCGGTGGTCTTCATCGTGAATAAGTCCCAACCCCAGCCGCTCTCTTCGACTATCTGGTTGGTGATCGGAAGGAATACTCGTAAAATATTAGTATAATCTAGTTATAATCTGCAGTATGTGATAAAATTGCATGACTTGATACCTAATGCTAAAAAATCAGCAAAATAATGTTAAAGTGCAAAATATCAACACTGGAATTGAGTGGCACAAATTATAACTGTCAATGTCGAGTGAATGAAGGCAAGGGTTTGGTATAATTCTATGACCTAAAGTATTGTTAGCTACTGAAAGGAATACATCGAAAGTTACAAAAACAGTATTTCTTCAATGCCGTGATTATGGGCCTATTTCTTCAATGCCGACACTCCTATTCTGTTCTAGTAATGTTCTAAAGTATAAACTCAAAACAAAGCACAGGTGTCTGAGCTGAATTAAAAGAAAAATGAAACCTCATTTCTTGATTTCATTGTAATAACCCGAAGGCATAAAAATTGCAGAACTCTAAAATGGACTTTGTAAGCAACGTAACAACTAAGAAATTTACAAAAACTATTTTGAGCAACTAGTGCTACGGCTGAGTTAATCAACAAATAATGTATATCAAAAGAGAATAGTACGGTACTAGGAAATGAGGACCTCATAGAAGAAATAGTTGCTGACGTCAGCGTCAGTGACGACGAGGTCGAGGATTGGCGTGTCGGAGGGCGGGCCGCGGCCCCACGTCTCCGCGATCTCGACGTCGTATTGAGCCCTCGAGAGATGTGGTGGGTTGTCGTTTACGTCGGTTAGACGTACGATCACCGTCCCGGTGCCTGGCACGATCACGGAATATGTTACGAAATGTTAGGTGTCATTACGACCACGGCACGATTATTCGTGAGGACGTGTAACCCAATCATTGGAAGGTACGAGGCAAGTCACGCGGCACGCAGCACGGCGACACGAGAATACGAACGACACTATCATAGGATTAATACCTAACGTGTCCTGAATCTTGCAGCACGACGCCATAAGGATCAACATAATAAATAAATGAAAGTATAAATACGATAGAAGTCAGAAGAGAAGCTGCATCACGAGGACCGACATGATACATCGCTGAAAAATAGCACTGCAGGCGTCGGGAGATTCAACGACATGTCTCATGGCGAGTTCGGCGCGATATTATATAAAAAACGCATAAGAAAGTTTTCTGAAGCATAAATATCAAATCTTATGTAAATAAAGTTGCTTGAAGCATCCCATGGTAATGCATGTCAAGAAAGGAAGGAGAAAATAGCGCCACAATCGAGTACTCCATCTGCAGATTCAACACAATATTATGTGGAGCGGCTGCAATCCTATTTACGAGACAGCTGCTTTGCGTCGCCGTCGAGGGCTCGACAAGCTGACGATGTCGAAGTTGAAGAAGCTGTGTTCTAAAGAAAATAAAAAATGGAGTCTAGATCTATTCTTATTTTTTGCCGAATGCGATTTTGCATCGTAATGGGGTTTGCATGAACTGTTTATGGTTATGAAAGCCGCCGGCAGTCGAGACAAAATTTAATAGTCAAATCCATGAAGAAGTCATAAACATAACTAGCCAGTCCACGTATATTTCACCGCGTAAAACTTAATATTGGATAATCTGAGTGAAAATAGTTCAGCGCAAAATACACAGGCTCTGTCATCTCTTTTTTTCGCATACCATACCTACTGATATCCGGTCTGCACGACCGAATCCAAAAAGGTTCCAATTGTTTCTAAAACTATCTTACATATCTATTCATCCAATTTAAAACGCGCAACTTTTACATAAAAACAAGTGGAAAGCTTTAAAACCCGATTAATACTCAACATAGCATTCCATAGTGTGGCAGGCATTATTGGAGAGAATTGATTAACTAGAACTCCGAACTTTTATTTTGCATGTCGTTATATGTACTTTTGTGGAAACGTACCCGAAAAATATCGATCCTGCTCGTGCACCCAAATATTATTATAAAAATATCAATATAAATGCGTGCCCTCAAATATTTTGAAGAAAGTTTTTGACATCCCATGGACATTCCTAAAAATGTTAGATTGTGTCAACGAAGCTAAAGATGTTAGGTCGTGCCAACGAGCCCATAGATGTTAGGTTGTGTCAACGAGCCTAAAAATGTTAGGTTGTGTCAACGAGCCTAAAGATGTTAGGTTATGCTAACTATGCTAAAGATGTTAGGTCGTGCCAACGAGTATAAAAATTTCAGGTCGTGTATGAGACTAATAAGAACAATTGTAATAAATTATCTTACCTTTAAGTCCGCCACCGTCAGTAGCGACAACCTGCAGCTGGTACTCTGGCGTGGTCTCGCGGTCCAGGCAACACAGCGCCGTCGACACCACGCCGGTGTCGGGGTCAACCTGGCCACATGCAGACCCAGAGACGCGTTCACAGATAAGAACACGCGAAATAATTGTCGCCGTTGCTGCATTAATGATTAATTAAAGCAACTTTGATTTTGTTTTCAATTGCCAAACTGAGTTTAGAACATTTTTTCGTATTTATGGTCGTATGAATTGGTTTTAATTGTACTTTGATAAATTAAGAAGGAATAATAGTTATAATCATAGAGGTAACAATTATTATTATCATTGGTATTGGTATTATTATTATTATTATTGGTATTCTTATTATTATTAGTAGGATATTAATAGTAAATTGGTCTCTGAAACATTTCTAGGAAAATTCGGTGAATTTTCTTGGTCATCCGTTACTTTTAAAAACCCGAGTTTCCCTAAGCACCAGGAACATTATCAAAAATTATTCCCAACAACACAGAAGTTTTAGAAGCAGTCATCAGTAATTTCCAGAGAATCACATGTTTATACGCTCCATTATTCCTTCTCAGTAGTGTAAATTATGAAATCAATTTATATTTTTCCGAACAAATTTTATGAAGTGGAGAAAACTGACAAGTGTCGCATGAAATGATATCGCGTTGATGGGAAGTCGTCAAGAAGTCCTATAGAAATCTTCATATTATAACGTTTATAACTCTTCGACACATGCCTTTAGGTAGAATAATAAATGTCAACAGTATGACAAAGGACTCCAACGGACACATGTAAAACAAATTTAAGGATTAAGCAAGTTAGATAGAATAAAAAATATCAACAGTATGAAAAAGGACTCCAACGGACACGTGTATAACAAAAATTAAAGGGTTATGCAAGTCTCGTCGAGACCCGCAAGCCAAACTGTACAGCACGTCTAATTCTGGAGAGAAAGAGGGCTAAGTTTCACACGGAGGAAATAGTATCCAAGAACATGTGCAGCTTTGCCGACGACAAACAAAGAGAGTCAAGTTAATCTGCAGCAGTTCGAAGCGAAGTTTTAGTTTAAGGTGCTCTGACAAGCAGTATAACGGCGAGTTTTAATCACGAAACGTAAACTCTAGCAGTGAGAAAAGGTTTCTTCGCTCCTCAAAGTCTGCCGAGCTCGAACTTTTGACGGTGTCGTGTAATCAACAAAACTATCTGCAACTCAGAGAAGCGTACAAGCTACAAGTTGGGCCAACAAAAAAGAATGTTCGGTGTCTGGGATTGATGAAAAATCTCATGAATTAATGCTCAAGAAGTTCATGTCACAAAGAGAAAACAAAGTCGATCAGCATATAATATTTCATGACGTAAAATGACTACTTTTAGTCTACTTCTGAGGAATGTGGCTAAATGAGAATAATTTTATTTAATAATAAGTCCAAAAGTCGTTCGAGCAATCACCTAAATTGAAACGTTCTAAGCTTTAATACGATTAGAAGTAATTGATTCTATGACCGGTCGTTTAAAAAATTTGCGTTGCAATTTCAATTATTTGAGTTTTGAACGCTCGGTTCCAGAGTTTGTCTTGTCACTCGTATTCTGTTGAGTGTAGACTATGAGCGCTTATGCTGGGGTTGAGGCGCTGAGATCTGCAGACACGAAAGCCGCTGGCTTTTCTCTGCTTGCATCGTAAAAAATATAAGCAACCGCTGCATAACTTGCGCTGTCTAAAACTTGGGCTGTCACGACTGCTAACTTGTGCACTTCAGCGCTAACTTTGTGCGATGCATTTCTCATCTCATCCAGGAATGATTTGTATTCTTCTCGGTAGTTTTATCAAGGGGGTGTAACTGCCGCATAAACATTAATATGAATAATATTTGTTGTACGTTAATTTACATTTGCTGTGCTTTGGTGCTATGAAAATTAAACATTGGAGTCAATGATAGTTATCTCTGCTTAATCAATTCGTTATTTATGCGTGGGTGATGTATACAATTTCGTTGAATTGAGCTTACTTTGACCAGTCGGTGAGAGGAAGTTGGAGACAAAATAAGTTTTTGGTCAGGACAAAATAAATAAATAAGTCAGGACAAAATAAGTTTTTACATGCCGATGCAAAAAATTGTCAAATCCCAACTATAATTAAATTTTATCCTGAATCCTCGAGGCATAAAAATACGACATTACGTAGTGAAACAATTTCCGAGCTTTCGTCCATCGCGAGCTCATTTTGTAGAAGAAGGACATGCATTTTATTGTGGCCTGCAGTAACAATGTAGGAGCAAATTAGGACTCTCATTATTGATATATGAATGGATTTACTTAGAGGATACGCTATGTAGGATGCAGAGTTTCGGCAAGGCTAGGCTATTTGGCCTCGAACAAGTTATGGAAGCCTTGCTGTGCTAGCGCGGCTCAATGAGCTCCAAACATCAGCCACAATATAAGCTGATGGTCAGAGGCCGACATAATTTAGTCCGTTTAATGAACGCGAAGTTTCTACAGGTCGAAATCAAGGAGGCATTAGAAGAGAGATTAAGGAAATTGCGCTCTCTGATTAAAATATTCCGGTGGCTGAAACTATTGAAACGATTATTTTACTGTGAATTTTGTCGCTAATTTTTGGGTTTAACGGTTCAGTTAATAACATAATTATAAGTGGAGTATAATTAGCCGTTGATTTCAATTGTAGGGCAATATTTGCAGACATTTTTTCAGCAGATGAGATTTGAAAATCTTAAAAAATACCGATCTAAATTCGGAAAATTGGCAAGACATTCAAAATTCGGACATTCAAAATTTGGACCAAAACTTAAATTATGGTCTGCCGCAACTAAATGTTCATGAAGAGAACTCTAATTCAGATCTTACTTGAAACATGGGGGCCCCGGTTTTCTCGTCAAGAACGTTTTTCTCGATTGCGTATAGGAGGCGTGCGTTGCTACCTTCGGTTGAATCATCGGCGTCATTCGCCTTGACGATAACCACAGACAAATCTAAAGGAACACATTTTTTCTCACTTTCAAATTCTACTGTAATTGAAAATGGTACTTAGGAAGAAAAAAATGCATTAAATTGTATATATTTCTAAACTGTTTATAAAATTATATAGATGCTGATAAAATTTTACATAGTTTCATAAATTTTAAAGAAGAGCTATAATAAAGATAATTATTAGTGCACTTACCGATAGGCCCATTTTCTTGCACGTCCCCATAAATTAGAGGCTGTGCGAAGACAGGACTGTTGTCGTTGATGTCTTTGACTATGATGATCACCTCGGCCTCGACTACATGAATTCTCCTCCAAACGCCCCTCTCAATCTCTGACGTCCACAGCAGACGCTGATATTGCTCAAGATGCTGGGACTCATCATCGTATTTTGTGGAGGTGCTGGAGGCGCCACTCATGCCGCTGTTGTTGGCCACAAGCGAAGGTGTTTTGAGGCATCCGCCGCTGGTCAGAAGAACGCCCGCTGAAGGGCTCCCATCAAGTGATCGACGACGCCGTAGAGAATACATGCCATAAGTCGGCCAAGATTGAGACGAGGTAATATATTCTCGAGGAACATCGTCAAGAGGCGACTTGCTGGGCGTTTCGTCTTCGCCGGAATGAGAGGAGCACATCGAGTTATTTGACTTATGAGCAACACAGGATGTCCGCGACCGGAGCAGGGATTTTTCCAAGGGTTGGTTCGATTGCATAAAAATATTATGATTCTTTGTAGAGGCCGTAAATCCGGAATTGAAAAAATTTATAGCTTCTACGTTAAAATTGCTTTTCAGTTTTGGAGAACGAATGAATCTGACTGTACTGGAATTACTGATTTGATTAACTCGTAAAATTTCTGTTTCGAAAGTGGGTAATGCGACTACACTGGAATTAGAACGTTCAATTTCGTGAAATGATTCAAAGATTTGTCGACGCAAATTATCGAACTGACTTTTATTAAGAAAAATTTTCGATGACTGAGCAGAAGAACTTTCCGACGAAATCGCCTTCAAGTGAGTCCATGAGGTTTGATTGTCAAACTGCAAATCCTCGAAAGCGTCGTTAGATTCTTTGCGAAATTTGAAAACTGTTGGATCGAAAACAGGAAAATATTTGTCACCTTCATCTCGCTTGCGTCTTTTGAAGAGGTAAGGCACATTTTTTCTCAGTTCAACTAATCGCCGTTGAAATGACGGATATTTTAGTCTACGGTATAGATGTTTATTCCTACTTTTACTTTTCACAAATTCAGGCAAGGAAATTCTGGTTCCTGCAGGAACTGTAGGAATTCTTTGGTGCGAATCCAAGTTATGTTGTTGGAACCGGAGACTGGAAGGTATTTGTTGCTCCGCATTTGTTCCTCCTTGTTGATTTGCTTGCCAGTTACTGTCGAATTTCTTATTTCCCTTGTATGGAGAAAGTGATAGAGATGCTGAACTCCAGTTCAGGGATGTGTTGGCTGATTTCTTTAACTGAGCTCTAGGATCGAAAGAAGAGACAAACTGCGATGAATGCTGATACGAACCTACAACATCAATAGGGGTCCCAAATGGCGCATTAGAATTTTGAGACTTCGAATAAAGTGGCTCTTCTTGTTGAACTTCAGATGAATAGTGATGAGAATGGAAGTTTTCTCCAGAGCTGTGCTGCTTGTTGAGCTTAGAATTCAACTGATCAAAGGATAGTTGCCTGGGCGTCAATTTTACAGCTTCCCGTTTTTCCCCAGGCAATTGTGGATACTTTTTTGCTGCTTTGGTATACGAGCGTCGTATGCCACGGGATTTCTTGGAACTCAACTGAGGAATAGCATCAGTTTTTGTACGGACAATGAGTGTAGCTTCCGTTGCATCGCGCTGTTCTTGGATCTGTGATGGCGCACGGTGCATGGAAGCCGAATTTGTGGAATCGTGGCGCAGGTTTGGAGCAGCGCCAGGCACGGCATGGAGGACAGCCGCGTGCACTGGCCGCCAGCGCTTCTGTCCATCACTGACGCCTACGCGCAGCTTCCACACTGCTCGACCGTGTGGCGGGTCGCGGTCCAGCGGCTGCAGAAGTTAAGAAATACAATATCAAGGTTATGAATAATGCGCTACCTCAATCAACGAGGTGTTAATTACAGATTAAATCTACTCAACGACGAAGAATTATAATCACAGGGCTCTCTGTTCTATGGACATCATACTATGTATATATATATATATTTCAGACCTAATTCAACATACCCAATGCTATCTTATCACCAAAATCTTTCACTATCTTATTTCATCTCGATACATTGCAAGCTTAAAATTGATCTCTGACCCTGAGCTGCGTCAGGTCCCCCGTCGCCGAGTTGACAGAGAAGAAAGCGTCCTCCGGAGCCAGCCCGTCTACCCCGTCTCCGGTGAGCGTGTACAGGAGTCCTTCTCTGTCTATCCAGTCCACGTCCGTCGCTGCCACCTACACGTCCAGTAGACAGTATAACAACAGGCATACAATTATGTGCATGACATATTCCCACGCACATAATTATGCGAGCGAAATTTGCAATTGTAAATTCGTACCATGCCCGCGATGTGTTTAAAAATAATATTCATCTTAGCTTGCGATGTGTATAACCAACACATAGCTTCTGCCAATCATTAATTGCAATGCTCCTGTATGAAATGCTTGAGTCTAAATGTCTTACGCGGTCTAGTAAGCACTGCTATCACAACTGTAACATATGCTAATGAATGTGATCAAACATGTGTATAACATTATTATAACAAGAGTTTATCCGGTTGTGTTGGTAAAAACACGGAAATATTGAGAAATCGTTTATCATGTTGGTACTTTACAGAGCAGGACTGAGAAATTACGTATATTTATATATATTTTCGCTTATATAATGCACGTTAATTGTGCTTGGGATGAGTTCGGATAGCTGGTCTTCTTCATGTCTGAATTAGTAGTTAAAAAATTTCGGTCAGTAAATGGGCGTTGGCACTCATAAACCAAAATTTTATGCGTTAGATGATTTATTACTTGGTACAGAAAGTATTCACTATATTTCTACTGAACTTTCTCGCGCTAGAAAGAGTGAGGCAGATTAAAGTCGTATTAGTGCATCAGGATTGTCACGTACCAACACCGAAGTTATACTCTACTTAAATCTAAACTAATTATGTTCTGACGGAGTTATCCTCTACTCCACTCATCTAAAATCTACTCTAATCATATTTTGACAGAGTTATACTCTACTCTACTTAATTCTACTCTACTTAACTCTACTCTACTCAACTTCACTCTACTCTACTTATACTCTGACGAAGTTATACTATTTTCAGCTCTACTCCTATACTTATAATCTGACTGCGTCCTCCGCCTATGCATGGCTCAGAATACTCTGTGTGAACAAATTGCAGTGTCTGTACTAAAGTCATCATGAGCTCAGAGAAGCGTAAATGCTCAACGAAAACATTTATTGCATAGGAAATACATCGTGAATCCTCCTCAAGAGAAAGGAAATCGGGGCGGTCGTGGGCACGATGATCACCCATAACCTGTTATGGTATTGCAAGAGCTGGTCCTTTGGAAGGTCAGAATAAAAAGAAAGCAATCAGGATAAATGCATAAGCTGTGCCTTACACGGACATCTATTGGTATGTTCAGGATCCTAAAACGATGCGAGTCAGGGAGCCTGGGCCTTAAGAAGGGCTTATCGGCTCCGAGTTACTGATCAGACCGAGATGTGATCACGGCAAGTTTGCGCACCGGTTCCCTGAGACCAGCAAGTTCACGTATAGGCAATGCAAGCAAAAGGCTGACGCATCACAAGAGAACTCAACGATTGCATGCGTAGCAGCATTATACTTAATTCACTCGTTGATATATAGCAACGTTTGGTCAAGTTTGAGCTGCACAGGGACTTGAGCTGCACTGGTATACGGTAAGGGTCTGACAGTGGCTAGGGTGAAGGTCTGACCGTGGCTAGGGTAAGGGTCTGACCGTTTCTAGGGTGAGGGTCTGACCGGGGCTAGGGTGAAGGTCTGACGTGGCTAGGGTGAGGGTCTGACCGTGGCTAGGGTGAAGGACTGACGTGACTAGGGTGAGGGTCTGACCGTGGCTAGGGTGAATGGTCTGACCGTGGCTAGGGTGAGGGTCTGACCGTGTCTAGGGTGAGGATCTGACCGTGGCTAGGGTGAGGGTCTGACCGTGGCTAGGGTGCGGGTCTGACCGTGACTAGGGTGAGGGTCTGACCGTGGCTAGGGTGAGCGGTAGGTCCCTGTCGTCCTCCTCGATGACGGTATAGACAGAGCGCGGCTGGGCGAAGACGGGCGCGTTGTCGTTGACGTCGCCCACCGTCACCAGCAGCTGACAGTGCGCGCTGGACCCTCCGCCGTCAGCTCGCAGCGTCAGCTCGTGCTGACATATGCAGGGAACAAACAATTTATTTAAATCTCCCCTTCAGGTTGTGATGAAATGTAAAATGTATATCGTCTCACGGAAGCTTTATTGTTAGCATTTGCTCATAATACGTGAGAAGGTATGGACGTTAGTTGGTGCTGATAGTAATACAAGAGCTTCCTGAATCTATGAATGCAAGTTCGTTCATACGGTCCCAATACTAACATCTAACTGAAAATCAAAGCTGATAGTTTCAACACAACGGTCAGACGTTCAAAATAATATTCGAAACAACTGGAGCGGACAGTTCCCCAGCACTCCTCAAACACAGCCACCATTTATTGCTCTTTCATATTGCTAGCTTAAGCGTAAATTATAGAGTAATAGTCAGCGATGATTGAAGATTTTCTATAAACCTCTCTTATCTTCTCCAGTGAATCTCGTAAATGTTGGAAGGAACTTATATTTATATAAATTTTATTGTAATATCATATGTCTATAAATAAAGCGCGAAATGAGAAAATTTATAAATCTATGACGATGCAACGAATTCTTCGCAGCTGCACTGTAGTACAAGAATAGATATAATCTGCAATAAATTGGGATAAAAGTTCCCTCGACATTGCGTAGGCGACTCAACATATCTTTGCAAGATTGACAGTATTTTCCTATTTATAATGTTTCTAATAATGTGCTCTCATTATCAGAAAATGTTCATGAATTTTTTGAGAAAATGATGACAGAATTTCTGAACGTTTTGACTTGAAAATATTACAAAAGAGGTGAAAACCTTATTTTAAAAACGTTAAATTATAATAGGAACCTGTAGCTAATGACTACTAATAATGAAGCCAAAAAATAATGAATTCTGCTTTGCGTCTACGGAAATATACTGAGAACCAAGTGAGTACCATGAATGCGCTACTATTTTCAATGAAATTGTATGTCTTGCAGTAATATATTCATATTTTAATGATTTAGATGTATTACCGACTGTATTTTTTTGCAAAATAATTTCAAATCTTTTGACATATAAAAGTCGAATTGTCAAACATCGTAGCACTAAAAAACGGAAATAGGTAATTTTTTAGTGCAGTTTGCTCTCATAGATAGGAAATATAAAAAGCAGGCAAATTGTCAGTTCGATATTATGCCATTATTGACGATTTATTAAAATAAAACTTAATGCGACAGATGAAAATTATTTCGATGTGAATAATGTTATTCAGATTTTTTCTCTCATAATTTTAATCTAGAAACGAATTAAATTTATGTATGAAGTGCCTGTTTTCCAAGCCACACTGCTACCCAGTGAAAATTTACAGACGCGTCAGTTTCTGATTTGGATTACCAGAAGCTGGGGCGACTCTAAATTTTGTTAGGCTATCGCTTTCAAAAGATTATCATTTTGTTATTTTATTTAATGATCTCACTACGAGCCTTGAACACGGTCAACAGCTCGTCCTGACAGCCGCGACGCACTAGCCATCAAATCATAATAGTCTTCTTCATCTAAAATTATTTTGGAATATAGTCACGACCTTCAACTTAGTACAATCAACTGATGCCATTTGAATTGCACCGCTGATGGCTCGTGTAGCCATTTCTGCCAGTCAAATTGTTTGTACAAATTGCCTTGGGAGTGCGGCGGTTTATCGTTGCAATTGAATTTATGAATAGCAGAAAATGTTGTACGGAACATGTTTGAATTTCATTGTAACCTACACTAATAGATAATAATAAGTCTCTCATAGAGTAATATTTGTACTGATTAGTTTTATTTTTTTATTTGCTGGTGTTTTAGAAGTGATAGACGAATTAAAATAAATAAATTAATTAGTAGTGTTATTGAAAATAATTTCAGTTATTTACCGAGTTTTCTCTTGATTCCGCGCCTGTTGTTGAAATAAGAGTTTCGGCAGATGTACCTCAAGGAAGTTTCAATGAAAATTACAAATCTAGCCAAAGACGCGTAAAAATCTGGAAAAAATTGATCAAAGCTCATAAAATTTCATCTTCAACGAGATATATTCCATTTTAAATAATCGTTACTGGTGCTGATTAATTTTCCGGTGGATGAACAGCCTATCGGAATCGCAATGCAAGCGCGATATTCAGACGTGACTGATGGCTTAACGCGAACCAATTCCGAAAAGCGATCAGGCGTCATGAGCCGCTCAATATTTTCATGTCAGTCTTCTCTTATTTAAATCATTCGTTAGTCCAATTAGCGCTTGGAAAGATAAGATTAATTATTTCGATTCAATAATTCGAATGACATGAGAAGGTTGTCGACTTTATGCGGCAATCGTTCAAGGAAAGCAGTTTGATGTGAATATTTTTGGCAATAAGCATTGATGAAGGACGTTAAATAAATTAATGAAAATCGACATGATACATTAATTACTTCCTAACCAAGAATTTACATTCCTGGTACAAACGGATACTATGTGAAAATTTCAGGGATGTGTTACTATTTTATACCTGGGGTATGATTTACAGAAAAATTCTTGAATTCTGATTAATTTCATGATTTTTTGTACTAGTTCTCGATTAGGGAATTATTCATTAGTTGCGAAAATTACTTAATCATTGCCAAAATCCATTCTGCGTTGGAAATTTGGTGCTCTCTATTTCATGTGATCCTGCTCTGTCATCGGAACAAATTTGTGCCGGCAACAGAAGTTAGACGTATTGACAGACACGGAAGGCATGGCATGCATTAAGAAGCACTCGAAACACAGAATTAATTAGTTTGTTTCCACATATCTTCATGTCAACTATCTATGTGTAAATAATAATTATCTGCAGCCTGACTTGTTTCAAAAACAGACTTCCTGAGCTGAAAAAAGTTATTTGTAAAAGAAGCGAGGAAAAAAGCACAAGATCGCTCACCAGACCCTGCTGCTCTCTGTCCAGCGCAGCGGCCAGGCTAACGGCCCCCGTACTGCTGTTGATCTCGAACTGTCTTCTGTCGTTGCCCGACACGATGCTGTAGCTCACGCGCCACCCTGTCGTACCAGCCACACAAAATTCGTCTTGAATTGAAATGCTGGTAGTTTCAATAGATGGAAAATAAGATGAGTGCTACACAGAAAATAAATGTATATGTAAATATATTAGTAAGTTAGACGGTTATTACTGCGGGGATATGCACATCTCTCGCACACAATAATAGTAAAAAGAAGCAAGTGTGGATTCCAGAATTCATTTCATCAAAAGTTTTATTAATATGGCTAAAAGTAATAACTGTAGCAATGTCGTGGTTTATAGGTGAAGATAAAATACAATGGCAACCTTAGGCTGAAAATGAAATTATGCTCACAGAATGAGTCGGTGTATCATTTTACCTTACTTCAATTTGAGGTACCAGCTCCATCACAGGAAGTGCATAATTGCTGCTACAGCACGAGACAAAAAGCTATCTAATGGAACTAATTGAGCGCATATTAGCAGGCCTAATGAGGATGAAAAGTCCATTAAAATTTGTTCTAACAAAATGTAAGGATGTTTATCGCGGTCTTTGAAGCTTCCCGCGTTCAGAGCCACCTTAGTTTAGGGTGATTACTAGTCGGACGAAGCAAGATGAATGAGAGTTTGCTGAGTCCGCTGAAATTCCCCCTCGCTTTAGAATTAAGATTCAGCGACGATAGAGATAGCTGGCCTCTTAATATTTAATTTAACTGGTTCAACGGGCGAAATTTCAGAAGGTACACATAAATATAAATTAGCATTAGATGGCAGAATATTCTTATTGCAACGCGTATGAATAATGACCAGAGAATGCAATATATTCGAATTTTCAGGAAATCGAAAATTCTTCAGATGACCCGCCTTGCTGAGACCTGCCTTTTGATATGTTAACGTCATCCGAAGATTATTTTTGATTACCTGAAAATTGGAATATAACGCATTCTCTGGGCATTATTCGTACGCGTTGCAATATAAATGTGAATGGACAAAAAACTTAATGCCTTTCATTTATACAAGTTCGACGCTTTTTACTATTTCAGAAACAATTTTGAAAGTGAAAAAATCGTATTATAGTTTGACAAAAATGGCCTGAGTTGCGGTCACTGTAATAGGATTATAATGATTGCTATTGCGGAATTGAAGTAATCTTGCCGTGTCATTAAGAACTGGTCAATTCAATCTGAATGAAACCAATCTCACGCTGCATCGTTGATATGCTATTATATAGGGATGAAAGTTGGCCATCACAAGTGTCCGAAAGCAACAGGGAACGTTTCTACGAGCGAAAATGCCATTTGTTTTAAATCCAGACTTTTCGCATTCCCAAAGTCTGCGACGGAGACTACGAGGCGACCGAGCAAATAACGTTAAAACAGAGTTTATACTTTATAGCTATATAAGACATCATCATCCTTTCATCTTTTCCCCAATAAGTCGAGTCAAAGAAGATCAAATTGGATGGCAAAATAGGAAGACTCAAATCTCGGGATTTGAAGTCTCGGGATACAAAAAGACCTTGCGCCGTAAGTTCGAACCAAACACGTTTCTTGTCGCGGACACTCTTTGAATGCGAGGGAAAGCTCGCTATCTAAAGTGCGAAAAGTGCTTTAAATGTAAGTACCGTTTTGACATAAAAAATACAATAATATTTGTCATACATAATTTATTGCCTTGAAAGCAGTGGGAGTAGCATATATATGACATCTTCGAAGAAGCTTACAACCCAATAAGACACTTTCATAAATAACACTTCTTGAGACAGCAGGAAACTTTTTGGCTAAGGACGAAATCGTAAATCGTCTATTCCCTCTCACTTCACAGTCCTCTTTTCGATCAGATCATCGTTAATGACTGAAGGTGAGTCTGCAGACACGAGGACTAAGTTATCCACTCACCTTTCAGGTGACTCGCCGTGACGGTGGTGACTGTCGTGTTCACTGGTGAGTCTTCAGACACGAGGGCGCAATACTCAGGTTCTGCGAAGACCACAGGGCCGTCCTCTGAGAACAGCCGCGTTGCTGGCAAACGGAGGGAAATGAACGTTAGGAATAAATTAATAATTGTACTGTTGAAGACTTAAATGAGATTTGATTATGAACAAACACGGGACTCGTACGGGAATTCCTTTTGATGGAGAAGAGAATTGGTAAACTGTTGTGAACTCTCCTAGCATATTAAAATCAGACATTCTCAAGTATTTTGCCTAGTTTTCCTTTTCTACTTCAACTATAAGGTACAAAAGATTCTTTTGCAGTCCATCACAATAGATCCGGATGCGGGGCTTCAGATCTTCCCTAAAATACGAGCTCATCTCAGTCGTAGTAGCAGGAACGGATAACGAATTCAGGGCTGAAGTGAGCGTTTGAGCTATAGATTTACGATACTTTTCGTCGAACTCCACTCGATTTTCTTAGAAGATTTCATTAATGTCGAGTGGCAAAAAAAGCCGAATCTCCATTAAGAAATTAGGTCCTTAATTGAGATTTTATGGCAGGGGAAAAAATTCTGTTGGCATAAAAATTTGCGAGTTTCAACGAATTTACCAAAGAAGTGAGATGAACCGACATAATAGGGAAGCGTTTCGATACTATAGCGAATAAATTGACAGAAAATAAATTGCTCATTCAGTATATTCAAGAAAGAAACCAATTATTCTCAAATGAAAAACAGGATAGGCGAGTCACTACGCGCCATATTAATGGCACTTATAGATTGAGACTTTATTATCATAATCATATTTTAATCATAAAATTTCAACATCTCGTCCGCGACCCGTTTTATCCTGAAAAAGCAAAAATCTGCGATTTTTCGGAAAATCAAAAAAATCACGCCAATCAGAATGTGGCGGAAAGCAATCTCAGCTGCTCAGTATAAAATATCGCAAAGTCTCGTCGGTAAGTCATGGCACGGAGGGAGCCTTGACCCGCCAGCTAATTACTTGAGCCCTGAGGCTTGATGAATCGACCTCTGTAAATGGCCGACAGGCTTGTTCATGAAGTAATTAACATCAGAAATATCAGATATCCTTCAAAATTGTTGGAAATTTCCGAATATCTTAGGCTGTGAATTTTGAGTTATATTTTTCCATGCCTATTGATAGGTTTGGGTTTGTAAATAGGGTTGTTGTCAACAGGAAGACTCAGTGATGACAACATCCAATATTAATGTTGCTCCGTGGGAGTGTATAAAGCCATTCCTTCCTAAATTCAATTTCTAATATGGATTAATCACTTTTTGATTTTTGTTTTTTCTAATTTTTCGTAAGTGCATTTTCGCTCTTCTTTAATTAGAAGAAGGCCAACTCCAGATCAAATCTTAGGCTTAGACCTTTATTGTGGCGAAGGCGCAACTTTTGAGCTTTTGTTCCTATTTGAATTTAATGTTCCGAACGTTATGGAGAGGCTTATTTCTTTTCAATGATCAACTGACTTATTTCTATTGGAGTCTGCCTTTACTTCAACTTTCATGATTTCCCTTTATATGGCCCCAGTTTTGCCTCTTAAAATTGACGCTTATTGTTGTTGTAATTGCCCATCCTGGTAGTGGCGACTATGGAGGGGGTGATAGGTCAGTCTTTTCGGGCACTAATGCCACTGGTAGTTCTACGACCATCACTGGCTCGCAAAATTGATGCTTAATCGCTTGGTGATAAAATATGTTAAGTGGGTGCGAGGCTGTTAAAATACTGAAATGGTGAGACAAAACTTTAGGCTCGTCGAGTTATTATTTTGTTACCTAGTTATTCAACAGCTAGTTCAATTTCGTTTCTATAGAATATCTGCAAATCTGGCGGGACACTTCGGTCAATTGTTTTTTTTGAGGGGGTTGGGGGGCGGCTTTCGGCGACTCAAAATGAGCAATTAAGAGATTCTTCTTATTATGGAGAGTGTAAAATTCTTGCTTCATAATTTTGTATTAATTTGCCAATTACTAAAATTTTTGATAGTTTTTTGGCTATGCCTTAGTATACGTTTTAAGTTATTACTACCAAGGTTTTTGTTATTTCTGGACAGTTATGTTGGGCCGGGTTATATTTCTCGAGTTATGTTCATTCGTCTTTAAAGTCGGCGAACCTATAATGATGCCGCTAAGATGCAGGCTACCAGGCTACGAAGCTTAATTTCAGGAACTTGGTCTCGTTCCTTATTTCTTTATGTGTCTGCTTTCCCAAGCTTTGGACCGGTCGTCTATATGGGATGAAGTTTTAAAATAAAAGTTCAGTTCGTTTCTTGTGTTTGTATCAAGCCTAACATAATAATACATAAATAAGATTTTTAGCGTACTGTGAAGCCATTTAGGTACACTTCATCGCGTATGTCTGTCTGTCATCAAAAATTCAAACCTTAATTTAGAGCACTTCTAAACACCCTAGTAAGTTGAAATTTGGCATGCATTCTTATGCTGCCTAACAATTTAATATTTGATCATCAAAAATAATAATAAAAATTTTTTTTATTTAAAAAATAAAAAAAAACACTAAAAATTCACGGTTTGGAATTGAGTTTTTCTCGAACATCTACACTTGCCAACCCTGGAAATTGATTTTAATTGCTAAAATTGCTAACTAAAACGTAGAAAATAAATATATATAAAAAATATTTTTAAAAACCACGTTTTTCTGGTTTTTACAAAACTAAAAATAGTGAAATAAAAAAAATAAAAAGCTCTCAAAAACCACGTTTTCTTAACGGACAAAAAAGAAAAACATTTACTCCTACATAACATTTTACACAACTTAAATGTTATGTAAGAGTAAAAGGTTTTTCTTTTTTGTCCATTAAGAAAACGTGGTTTTTAAAAGTTTTTTTATTTGTTTTATTTCACTATTTTTAGTTTTGTAAAAACCAGAAAAACGTGTTTTAAAAAAATTATATTAATTTTTGACATATGAAATTAAATTATTCGTATGAAAGGCAGGGTTTTTTCTACTTTATCAGGCGATCCAGTGCGACCCGGTGTTCCTGTACGCATTTATCTAAAATATACGATAATAACAATAATAAACCAAAATTAATTTAGACTCACACTTTTAAACAATTTCAAATAATTTCGCAAACATGCTCCTCAATTCATAAAAATTGTCTCGATATGATTAACAATTTTCTTAATCTGCTGAAAAGTCATCTTACAGTGCAATCTTCACTACTTAATTCTACGCATTTTATGTTCGTCATAATCTTTGAACTAGTTTTTTTTAGCTATCTGCAATGAGCCTTCTTATTGCAGTCGAATTGCGTGCAAACAGGCCGGAATTGCTTGGATGAAGCCACTTGGCAACAATGGCAATGACCTTCGCAGTTACGTTGAATTCTGTAACACTTGCGCTAGAGACTCTTTCAAACTTTATTGTGCACTTACGACCGGCATAATTGAGGGAGTCGGCATTAACGAAGGTTATACATTCGCAGAGCAGAAGCGCGATCGGTATCTGTATGAATTTCTTATAGATTTTATGTCTGTTACTACCTGACGAGGGATTGAGCGATATGACTCTGCTGATATTGCATATATACTGCGAACTGCCTACAGAGTTCATAAAAGAATAAATCGCTCGCGATAATTAAAAGAACATCTCCATAGAGGCATCACGAAAATGTTTTGCCCGATAATAAAGAAGGAATTATCTGACACGTGGAGCAACTCATATAACAAGGATTTTAAAGTTGCTAGTTCTAGGTGCGATCTTTAAAATATTTTACGATCTGCTCACGAGTCGTGTGCCTCGACATCACTTGGCGAGACGAGAGCTGTAGCGTTTAAATCTTCCATGCGTATTGTGGGACATTTTATTCTGTGTCAGATACGAAATCATCAGAATTCAATGTTAACTCGGGTGAAAATCAAAACAAAAGAAGACGAAGCAGATTGTTCCAGACGCAGTTTTGCGTAATTTTATGCTAAACATCTTGTTTGGAGCGCGTGTTTACATCTGTCGAGAATTTGCCCTACAGCCTCAGCGTTTGACTGCGGCGAATGACTCTGAGCAGAGAAACGCACCCGCGAGTCTTATTTTGAAGTCGTTGTGGACTTGAAGCACGTCGTTCAGCTGATGGCATCGAATGCGGTGCACTTCAATTTCTTAAATGCCATCGCTCTAGAGGCGTATAAAAATGGTGGTGGGAAAGCAAGCAATCAAATTAATCTTAGTAAAACGAATATAAACAACAATACGACGTATTTTGTTCGGTATTTGCAATGTTGGGCTGCAGAAGCCGCTTCACTTTAGAGGAAAGATGAGGATTTGTGCTCAAGCCCGGAGCGCGATCGCAAATTCGTGAATGTCAGCGATAGATTCGTTTAAGCTTTGGGATGTGACGATATGAAACAAATCTGATACATAATAAAATACGCATGTAAATAATATTTTACAAAATTAAGCAACAAATAGGAGAAATTTTGATACCGTACATTTGATAAATTTGTTAGAGATGTGTATGAAAATTTGCATATTTCAATTTGCAGACGCCTTCATTCCAAGTTTTCCGGACACTGTTGCCTATTTTCGAAGATTTGAAAGAACCTTTATTGAATTAAGAATTCAAACGAGTCTAATTCGAAATGTTTTCGAAGGTCAGCCATTCAGTTACGTGAAAAACTAAGTCTACGGAGCCTCGCGAGTAGCGGCTGTCGCGTTGCTGAGGTGAAATTTTTCAGTGGAATGCGACCGCTCGCCAGTGGTTGCTTCGTCGCTCCTGCAGTAGACACTCTGCAGATAACATTAGATTATGAATCAGTGGCTAGTGCCGCCCCACATGCCTGTCTTGCTCCAGCTTTAAATCTAAGGAATTAAATTGAATCGGTGCTGTGCGGTCACAGGAGTCGGTGCAGGTTCCACAAAAGAGACGTCGGCTTTGGAAGACAAAAGAATGGTAAGAGGAAATAATATGCAAATTCCTTGGCTCTGCAGTTTCAACAAAGTTTGAATTGAGTCCATGCAATTTGAACCGAGTACAATACAAAATTGACAAGATTTGAAACGAAACAAATTGCGTACGTACAACTAAAATTCCCCCTCGAA